AACTAAGGCCCTTCATTCCTGGTACCATCCTGGTAAACATCCTTTGCAACCTCTCCAATGCCCTAACATTTTTCCTAAAGTGCGGTGCACAGAACTGAACACAGTACTCCAACTGAGGCCTAACCAGCATTTTATAAATATTCAACATAACCTCCTGACTTTTGAATTCTATGCCCCTATTTATAAAACCTAGTATCTCGTATGCTTTTTTAACAGTTTTATCTACCTGTCCTGCCACCTTCAGAAATTTGCTTATGTGGACCCCCAGGTCTCTCTGTTCATTTGCCCCCCTTTAAGATTGTACCATCAGCTTATACTGTCTCTCCTCATTCTTCCTACCAAAATGCAACACTTCGCATTTCTCCACATTAAACCTCATCTGCCACGTTTCTGCCCATATTACCAATCTGTCTAAGTCCTCTTGGGAGTCTGGTGCTCTCCTCCTCACCATTAACTACTTTTCCTAGTTTAGTATCATCTGCAAATTTGGAAATTTTGCTCCCTATATCCAGGTCCAGATCATTAATATAGATCAGAAAGAGCAGTGGTCCCAATACCGACCCTCAAGAGACACCACTACTGTCAGAAAAGCAACCGTTTACTACCACTCTCTGCTTTCTGTCTCCAAGCCAGTTCTGGATCCATGTTGCCACAGTCCCTTTAATACCGTGGGCTTCTATTTTGTTTATAAGTCTCTTATGTGGCACTTTGTCACATGCCTTTTGAAAATCTACTGCACTACCTTCATCCACCCTCTCAGTCACTTCATCCAAAAATTCTATTAGGTTTGTCAGACACGATGTGCCTTTAACAAATCCGTGTTGACTGTCCTTATTAAAACAATATTTTTCTAAATGAGAATTTATATTGTCCCAGATTATAGTCTCCAGAAGTTTCCCTACTACTGATGTTAGGCTGACTGGGCTGTAGTTCTCAGATTTTTTCTTCTGCCCCTTTTTGTACAGGGGAGTAACATTTGCAACCCTCCAATCCTCTGACACCACTCCAGTGTCCAAAGAGGATTGAAAGATTGTGGCCAGAGCCTCCGCTATTTCCACCCTTGCTTCCCTAGGATGCATCCCGTCCAGACCAGGTGACTTATCTATGTTGAGCACCGACAGCCTTTTTAGTACCACCTCTCTGTTGATTTTTATCATATCCAATTTCTCTTCACACGCCTGCGATACTGTGGCATTGGTTGCATTGTCTTCTTTTGTGAAGACAGTTGCATAGTATTTATTTAGTACATCAGCCATGCCCTCTGCCTCAACAAGAAGATTTCCACTTGGGTCCCTAATAGGACCCACCCTGCCTTTGACTAACCTTTTACTCTTGATATGCTTATAAAATACCTTAGGGTTCTCTTTTAGGTTTCCTGCTAATCTTTTCTCGTACAATCTCTTCACCCCTCTTATTTCCCTTTTCACTTCTCCTCTATACTTCCCGTATTCTATTTGATTATCCTGTGTGTTTCGGACCCGACATTTGTCATAAGCCTTCTTTTTCTGTTGTATTTTAATCCCAATTTCCTTAGTCATCCAGGGAGGTTTGACTGTCTTACCTTTCCCCCTTGTGGGAATGTATTTGCTCTGAAGGCTTCCCATTGTTCGTTTGCTGTCTTACCTGCCAATCTTTCTTTCCAGTCGGTCTTGGCCAGGTCCCTTTTTAGCTCACTGAATTTAGCCCGCTTCAGACATTAGCGTTTTGAGGCGTCTCGAAAACATAATAAGGCACTGTATCAAACGCAAGGATTATTATTATTATTTCCAATTTACAGTGCAGGAAAAGGTTATTCAGCCCATTGTATCTGTGCTGATTCTTTAAGAGCAATCCTTTCAGTCTTATTTACCTGCCCACCCCCCCCCCCCCACACCCACACACAAACACACACTAATATGGATTAAGAACATAAGAATTTGCTAGGTGAAAGACCAATTCCATCTAGTTCGCCTTCCACTGTCCTGCCAGGGCTTGATATGTCGTGTCCCAAACTATATGCTTCTTCCAGGCCCACTCCTCGCTCTCCAGCAGACAATCAGCCCCCCGCCCCGTCAGAGGCTCCAGCTCCACCCGCTGTGACCTCCCTCCACACACCACCTCTGTTTCATCTTGCTGAACACCCACTGTTTGTGCGCTCGTGTGAGTGTGCGCGGTGTGTAGGTGTGTGGTGTGTAAGTGAGTGTGTGTGTTTGTGTGATTGTGGGTGTCGGAGCCCCTCAGTGTGTGACTGTGTGTGTGTGTACGTAGTGTGTATGTGTGCGCACTTTTCCACAGCTGTGGTGAGTGCACAACAAAGCGAAGAAGACAGAGACACTCAAAGTCCGACTGACAACATCAGGGTGGTTTCGTTTTTTGCTCAGCCGGGTGTCTGACACGTGCAGAAACCCATCACCATGTTTAAGAGTATCCAAACCAAGCCGAGGTTTCCATATATCCCACCTACACGTGGAAATCCCAGAGAGAGATTGTTGGAATGGAATGCGCACTCTCTCCCTGGAGGGACACATCCTGTTTACCTAATGTGTGACAGTGTGTATGTGTGAGACACCGTCTGGCGTGGAGGACGCTATATAAATCCAAGTTGTTGTTGTGCGCGTGACTGTGTGTGTGTGTGTGACCGTGTGTGTGACACTGTGCTGCAATGTGTGTGGGTGTGTGACCGTGTGTGTGACACTGTGTGTTTAACAGTGTGACAGTGGTTGTGCCAGTGCGACAGTGTGTGTGCCAATGTGTGTGTGACAGGGTGTGCGTGACATAGTGTGTGTGACTGTGTGTGTGTAAGAGACAGTGTGTGTGTGACAGTGTGTGCCACGGTTGGAGCCTGGTTTATAGCGAGTGAGGACGAGTGTAATAATTAACAATAACAATAATTTTGCATTTGATCCAGCGAGACGTCTCAAACCACTTCAGAAGTACTTTCTGTAAAGTGGTTTAAAGTGTGTTTGTAGGGAAACAGCAGCACAGCACTGCCCACAAACAGCAGTGAAGTGAGTGACCAAAGGTATCTGGGGATTGTCAGCCAGGGCACCAGAAGAGAGAAACTCTCTTCTCTTTTTTCCATCCGCGGGATCTTTAACATCCCCCTGAACAGGCACAGACGGGACCTCGGTTTAACGTCTCATTCAAAGGACCGTGAGCTCAAAGTCCTATGTTGCGTGATTCACGTTTCAAAACTTCTTTCTTACTCATTTCCCCACTTCAATGTTCTTTTTCTTTTTTCTTTCCCTCATAAATAATGAGATTTATTCTATTTCTGAAGACATTGACCTCAGGCTGCTTTAACTTGCATTATGTTGAGCTACATTGAATCCTGGAAACAAGAGGACAGGTGCAGGAAGAAGCTATTCATCCCCTCAAGCCTGTTCCATCAGATCGTGGCAGATCTTTTAATGCCAGTGCACTTTTAATACCCTTTCCGATACCCCTTACTCCCTCCCCGGCTGATCACGGTGATGGGTTTCCGTGTGTGTCAGACACCCGGCTGGTCACGGTGATGGGCTTCCGCGTGTGTCAGACACCCGGCTGGTCACGGTGATGGGTTTCCGTGTGTGTCAGACACCCGGCTGATCACGGTGATGGGTTTCCGTGTGTGTCAGACACCCGGCTGATCACGGTGATGGGTTTCCGTGTGTGTCAGACACCCGGCTGATCACGGTGATGGGTTTCCGTGTGTGTCAGACACCCGGCTGATCACGGTGATGGGTTTCCGTGTGTGTCAGACACCCGGCTGATCACGGTGATGGGTTTCCGTGTGTGTCAGACACCCGGCTGGTCACGGTGATGGGTTTCCGTGTGTGTCAGACACCCGGCTGGTCACGGTGATGGGTTTCCGCGTGGGTTTCAGATACCTGGCCATAAGGTCATCGAATTATAGAATGCCTTTTTTTTTGTACAGTGTTGCAATGAAGATTTTTTTCAGTACATGTTTGTTTCAGGTAACATACACATATACAAACACACTGCCAGAGCCACACTCACAGAAGGTTCAGTAAACTTCACTGAATTAGGTCAGAGTGAAGCATTGTCCTGTTGAAGTCTGGCACATATAGCTGCTGTACACACATACACAGCAGGTCCCGGCGGCCAGCTCAGCACAGTATCACACTGCTATATCCTGACTACTGGCTGAGATCCTGGCTTCATCACACCATCACACCATTCACTGAGACACACTCCTCCAGTGCTATCTGTGTGAGAAAGGGAGTTCCTGTATTGCTGAGTGACTGACTGGCTGGTGCAGCAGAAATTGTCTCCAGTGAATGACGGCTTCAGTTATGGAAGAACTGGTGCATATCCGTGTGTATATAGCATATCCTCGCCTTCCCACACCCCTCTTCCCCTCTCCCACACCCCTCTATGACCCTCTCCCACACCCCTCTATTACCCTCTCCCACACCCCTCAATTCCCCTCTCCCACACCCCTCAACTCCCCTCTTCCACATCCCTCAATTCCCCTCTCCCACATCCCTCTATTCCCCTCTCCCACACCCCTCAATTCCCCTCTTCCACACCCCTCAATTCCCCTCTCCCACACCCCTCTATTCCCCTCTCCCACACCCCTCTATTCCCCTCTCCCACATCCCTCTATTCCCCTCTCCTACTCCCCTCTATTCCCCTCTCCCACATCTCTCTATTCCCCTCTCCCACCCCCTTCTATTCCCCTCTCCCACATCCCTCTATTCCCCTCTCCCACACCCCTCTATTCCCTTTTCCCTCGTGTCTGCACCTGTCTGTTTGAGCTGTTACTGACTGATTTATACTATTGCCCGCTAGTTATGGACTCACCCAGTGGAAACACCCCATTGGCGTACACCTTATCAAACGCCTTCACGATTTAAACCCTTTTGCTCTCTCTCCGTCCACTCAAGATTTGCTCCATTTAATCAATCAGCTTAACGTCTTGGCGTTGGTGCTGATATGAAACGATTATCAGAGTCGCAGGATTAACTTATTGATGTTAAGGTCTTTTGATTTCACTGTAATCTTTTGCTTTCTTTCAGGTTCGTGAATAACCATGGCAAAAGCATACGAGTTTCTGTGGCAGAAATCTGTTCCCTCTTTCCTACAAGAAGGGTCTGTGTTTGACAGATACGATGAGGTGAGTGGCTTTCACTCAGATGCTTATTGTCAGTCATCAGTCTTTATTCTAACCTCTCCTCGGCCTCTCACTTTGCCAGACAGCAGACACTAAAATCCTTAAAATAATCCTAACAAGCCGAGTGTCTCACAGGGCGCCTTATCACGTTGTCAAAACCTCTCAACGCACTTCACAGGATTTACTGTAAAGTGTAGTGACTGTGTTAATTAGATGAACGCAGCAGCCAATTTGCACAAAGCAATATTCCAGAAACAGCCAGGAAGTGAGCGACTGATTTTATTTGGGGAATTGTTGGTCAGGAAACCGGGAGAGAGAAGCTCCCTTCTCTTTTCCGATAGGATCTTTAACGTCCACCTGAACAAGCTCTGATGGGACCTCGGACTTGTCTGAAGGACGGCACCTCCGACAATGCAGCACTCCTCCAGCGCTGCTCTGAAGCGTCAGCCTGGACTGTGAGCTCAGAGTTCTGCCAAGGCGCTTGAACCCAGAGGGTAGAGTGCTACTGGCTGAGTCATTATTACTTGCCGTCTTTACTGTTAATGGAATAATTGTATATTAACTACACATTCTTAAAATAAAAGAATAACCAATGGTGATGGAAACAGATTCAATAACAACTTTCGAAAGGTAGTTGGATAGGTACTTGAAAAGGAAAACATTTGCAAGGATATGGGGAAAGAGAGGGGGAGTGGGCTGACTGGGCAGCTTTTCTGAATGGCCTCCTTCTGTGTGTAATATTCTATGATTAATAATAATATTAAAATCCTAAAAAAAATTATTTGGTCGCTCAATCCACGACTGTTTGTGGGACATTTCTGTGCACAATTGGCTGCTGCATTTTGCCCAAAAAAATATAGTCAATTCACTTTACAGTATATTCTGTGAAGCGCTTTGAGACCAGAAGGCATTATATCAAATGCAAGAATTATTATTATTATTATTCTGGGAGAATGGCACTTGGAAACATACCTTTGTCTCCTTATATCCTGTTGGCCTAGTTATACTACAAAACCAGAGTTGACCTACTGAATCTGTCACACCTGTCCAGTCAAGATGTTTTCGTGCAATGTTACATATTAAACAAGTCTATTCCAATTAGTGTATTGTGTGGATTATCCTGTTCATGCCTGTTTGGATGACATTAAGGACCTTAGTGGTGCGACTCAAAAAGAGAAGGAAGTTTCTCTCTCCTGGTTGCCTGACCGACAATCCCCCAGATACAATTAGTCATTCTCTTTGTGGCTGTTTCTGGGACATTGATTGCTCGGTGCAAATTGGCTGCTGTGATTGCCAACAGAATACGTACAGTCACTGCGCTTTAAAACAACTCTTTGTGAATAGCCTTGAGACGTTATAGTCGCTAAATCAAATGCCAGAATGATTATAATAAACACACACTCAGTCTCCTGACTTTACTCCCATTGAGATATCCCCTCACGGGAATCCCTGCTTTCATTTTACGCAGCTCATTCCTAACACTTGTCGCCCCAATTCTAATATAAAGGATATTATTTTGATGTTTCATATGAACTAGATTGAGGCACTAATCTAATCAGCGTTTCTGAAGCCAGAGAGTGCTTATTGCACAGCCAAAGCTTTGCTGAGAGATGAGGTGAGGGCAGGATATTATATTTTAATGAGAGGCTGAATTACCATTCTGAAGTTCAGAGCACTTCAGTGGTGTGATATAGATTAGTTTCCACTGGAAATATAATTTTCTGCTAGTGCTTCTGATAAAAAGGTTTGATATAGCCATTTACTGGAGCATGTGAACTGCTGTCAAACACTGTCATTTCTGACAGTAAATTGCTGAGTTACACACGCCTGCATGTTGGCTAATTTAGAATCACTTTGGTTTTAATGAAGGGCTTCAGAACACTCTGTGCACTGTGACACCCACGTACATCCTCCGGGCTAAATCAACACTCTCTCCATGTATTTCACCTTTCTGTGATAATACATGAAAACATCTTTCTATCCCTGAAACGTAGCTCACCTCAGCCACTGCCGTGTGACGTGATGTTAAACCGGGGTCCTCTCTGTTGCTGTTCAGATGGACATTAAAGATCCCGCAGAGCTGTTAGAAAATTTTCTCTCTCTCCTGGTGTCCTGGCCGACAATCCCCCTGATAAAATCGGTCATGGAATAAGAGCTCTCTGGAGATGGAAATAAAGACCTTTGTTCAAGAAGGTTGTGAATATAAGCCCAGCTGCTGTGTTCACCTGTAAAATACACACACACTGGGTAAATAATAATATTATTAATAAATAATAATAAATGGGACAAAAACGCCCGGCCCCGAATCATTTGTTTGAAATGTTACTCCGGACAGAATGTGGTGCTGTCGCCACTGCCCCATCTCATTCTGTGTCTCGAGCGGCTCTGGGATGGAGATGGGAGCAGTCGTGGCGTTTGAGTAGAGTTGGATTCTCTGAGGTTCCTTTGGCTCTGGTATCACTGAGCTGGAAACCTAGGAACTGACTGTGCTTGAAGAGTGTCAGCCTAGCTCAGCTAGTCATTCACTTCATGGCTGGGTGCAAATCGGCAGCTGCGTTCCCCTACAAACACACAGTGAACCCTGTGAAGCGCTTTGAGAGTCTGCATGAGATGAAACTGGCTGTATTAAATGTAAGATTATTCAGTTACTTGCCTATTGATTAATTGCTGACTGTTTAAGAGCCGCAGTCAGGGGGAATGGCTTTAATGTTGCTTCTTTTGTTCGCAGGAGTCTTCGGTGTGCGAAACTCAATGTACCTTCAAAGTGGATGAGTTTGGATTCTTTCTCACGTGGAAGAGTGAGGGGAAGGTAATTCTCACAGAAAAACCTCTCATTTCATACCACCTCAACAACAACTCACATTTAGAAAGCGCCCCTCACGTGAGGAGGACCAAGGCGCTGGACAGTCAGGGTGAGATCGGATGGGCTGAATGATCCTCTTCATCCGCATCTGACCTTGTGACTTTATAATGTATTTATTAATGTCAAAAAAGATTGTACTTTAATAATGCAAATTTACATTCATATACTGAGTGCCTGTCCCTCTAGGCGTCTCAAAAGGTGTTTTTTTTGGAGTCACATCTCTTTAGAGAAAATGCTAGTTTGAAAATAAACTAATCTTCTCGATGTATCTTTCAGGAAGGTCAAATCCTGGAATGTTCAATGATCAACCACATTTACTATGGTGTCAGCACCAAGGTATGTACCTGTTTTAGACAGTGACAGACAGAGAATTCAGACAATGACAGACAGACGGCCGGGCGGGCGGGCGAGCGGACGGACGTAGTCAGTGGAGTAGATATAAAAGTACTATAGTTCAGCTCAGTTGCTCACACGCTCCCCTCTGAGTCAGAAGATTGTGGAACTAAAGTCCAGGCTGAGGCTCCGGTGCAGGGCTGGGGGAGTGCTGTGTTGTTGGAGGCTCCGGTGCAGGGCCGGGGCAGTGCTGTGTTGTTGGAGGCTCCGGTGCAGGGCTGGGGGAGTGCTGTGTTGTTAGAGTTGCCGTCCTTCAGATTAAACATTAAACCGAGGTCCATTTGTACCTGTTCAGGTGGATATTAAGATCCCAAGGTGCTGTTCATACAGAGAAGGGAGTTCCAGGACACCGGGAGAGAGAGAAACTCCCTTCTCTTTTCCAACAGCGCCGCGGGATCTTTAACATCCACCTGAACAGCCACAGACGGGACTTTGATTTAACGTCTCATCTGAAGTATGGCACCTCTGACAATGCAGGGCTCCCTCCAGCACTGCACTGGAGCCTCAGCAACAACACAACACTCCCCGAGCACTGCACTGGAGCCTGAGTGTGTGTGTGTAACAGTGTGTGTGTGAGACAGTGTGTATATGTAACAGTGTGTGTGTGTGACAGTGTGAATGGGGCTTGAACCCACAACCTTGTAATAATAATAATCCTTGCATTTGATATAGCGCTTTTCATGTCCTCTAGACGTCTCAAAGTGTCACAGAATAGACTGTAAAGTGAATTGACTGTATATTTGTGGGCGAAACGCGGCAGCACAGCAGTGTCCCACAAACAGTCGTGGATTGAAAATGACCAATTTATTGTTTGGTTTTGGAGGGATTATTATTAGGCTCTGTGTGGAGTAAGGAAACTTGCCCAAGGTTTCGCCCTGTCTGGAATTGAACCCAGGTGTCTCACTTGCAAAGCGAGTGCTCTAACCACTGAGCTACACGACTCCATTTAGAAACGTCTATTTAGAATCGTACAACACAGAAGGAGTCATTCAGCCTGTACCTGTGCTGGCTCTTTGAAAGAGTTACCAACTAGTCACTCTCCCTCGCTTTCCTCATTGGTTTGCAAACTTTCTTCTTTTTAAGTACCAACAACTAATATTTTTAAAAAGCAGAAGTGTAACAGGAAATAAACCAGATGACAAAATCCTAAAACCTAAAAGCATCCTTTCAAGTAGGAATTTGTATTGATACTAATTCCCTTAAGAACAGGTGAGTGATACTGAGCGACCAGCCAAGCGGTGCATCTATCCCCAGATTGATAGAACAAAGTGATAACTGTGCAGTTTAGTATCAAGGCTGAGGTTTACTAGGGCCACTGTATGGTGGAATAACCACAGCATCCCCTGCTAGTTATCTCAATGTTAAAATGCAAGTGCTTTTTGAAAAGAAAAACAAATTCACGCTGCTTTTTTGGCAGCAACATCGAAACAAAGAATTGGTGAAAATGTCAACTGAATCCCAGCTAGCGACAACGATCAGGACCCAATACCAAGTGACTAAAGTGCATAGAAAACGAGCAAGTTACATATTAAAAGGCCCAGGTGTATACAGCTGTGGACAGCAACATTTCCAGAAGAATGCCAAGGACATTGGGAGAACAGAGATTTACGAGAATACCAGGCTGAGAGGCTTTACTTTTGAGTGGGGACTACAGACGGACTAGAATAGGGTTTGAGAGGAAACCCAATAGGAGCATTTTAAGATATCCCGAAGACGTGATAAGGCTCTATATCAAATGCAAGGATTATTATTATTATTAGAAGTATTTAAACTTATGAGGGGCTTTGATAAGGCAAATAAAGAGAACACTGTTCAGTGAGCTGATGTTCTAATATAATATAAATATGTCTATATAAATCCAAGTTGTTGTCTAGAGGGCATAAATATTATTAACCTTTAACAGTAAAACTCTGCAAAGTGCTATGGGACGTCTCATTGACATGGTAAGGCCCTGTATCAAATGTGAGGATTAGAATTAGCTGTTTCTGACTTAGTGGTGAGAGGGCAACTGCCTGAGGCAGCTGACAGTGAAGATTATGATTTATTATACAGCTGTAGTAACATGCAAGTGGCCGAGTTGAGAAGCACTTTGCTCAGTTTGCTGTTTGTAGTTTGACATGCGGAGGCATTGCTGTGTTGATTAGTGGTTTGCCTTTGTCATGGAGACTGACTCAACCACACAGCCTTGGTTATAATATATCATAAAGCTTTCCAGGACACAAGGACTCCCATTTGTCCCATTACGTCTGTGCTGGTGCTCACTCCCCCACTGGAGCTCTCTACCCTTTCTCACAGTTTGATACGCCCCCCCCCCCTCATCTGGGGTCACTCACACACTATACACACCTTGGCCACAGTCCAGATCATTTCTATGAAAGTAATAGAAACAACAGACTTTTGACACACTGACTGATCATATCCTATCAGCCTCTTTACCCACGTCCTTGCATTCTTTCTCCTTAGGGTTGGGGTTGTGAGGTTGGAGATGAGGTGTCAGGGTTTAGGTTGGGCGCCCTCCGTGCCTGCTCGGAGATGCTGTTTGGGTGACGTAAGTGTTGATGGTACGTCAGCCCACCAATCGCCCATGTTAACACTCTCTCCCTTCCCACTCCTCTTAGGATCCCAAACTGCTGTCTGCTCTTGAGGGAGTGGGGCGAGGTGAGAACGAGCTGGAAGGGCGGGTATTCAATGTGTGTTCAGGAGCTGACCTGGTGAACATCAGCTTCATGTATATGGTGGCGGATCATGTGGAGACAGCTAAGGTAGGTGTTGCTGACGCGCTCGAAATACACCAAGTTCATTACAATTAGCTCTCACACTGAACATGTTGCTTTTTTGGTACTAACTGTACGCAGACTATCGCCCGGATTTATTTATACAAAGGTGTGTGGCTGCCTGTGACTGTGCCCCCTCCCCACCTCCCAGTTACAGTGCTGTGTGCACAGTCCTGCTTTTATATCATGTGATACCTGTCAAAATTTCCTGTAGCTCAGTGGTTAGAGCGCTCGCCTCGCAAGCAAGAGAACCCAGGTTCGATTCCCGGGCAGGGTGAAACGTTGGGCAAGTTTCCTTACTCCACGTACATGCCACTGTGTACCTAGCAGTATGTAGGAACCCGGTTGTTAATCGATTGGCAGATTGCTTTTCTGGATGTAATAACCTCTTCCAAAAATAATAATAATTTGGTCATTCAATCCATGACTGTTTGTGGGACAATGCGCAATTGGCTGCCGCGTTTCGCCCACAAAATATTCAGTCACTACACTTTGCAATATATTCTGTGAAACACTTTGAGAAGTCTCGAAAACGTGATAAGGCACTATATCAAATGCAAGGATTATTATCATTATCACGGGGTCAGTGTCTCCTGTATCCATGATCATTGCAGCTCGTCAGGTCATGGCTCAGTCAGTCACACTCTCGCTTCTGAAAGGTGTGGGTTCAAGCCCCACGTCGGGGACTATGAGCTCACAGTCTAAGCTGACGCTCCAGTGCAGTGCTGGGGGGAGCGCTGCATTCTCAGAGGTGCTGCTCTTCGGATGAGATGTTAAACTGAGTCTGTGTCTTTTCGGATGGATGTTAAAGATCCCGCGACCCTGTTGGAAAAGAGGAGGGAGTTCCTCTCTCCTGGTATCCTGGCCAACAATCCCCCAAACACAATTAGTCGCTCATTTCATGGCTGTTTGAGGGACGTTGCTGTATGCAAATTAGCTGCTTGTTTTACTTGAGGTGTAGCGCCTGTAATATCTAGGGAGCCGCTAATTTACATACAACACTGTCCCACAAACAGCTCTGAAACGAATGAGTGATTTTATCTGGGTGATGTTCAGTGAATCTTTAACAGCAAGCGCTCCGAAACGCCGTCCAGGGTGAAGGGCGCTGCGAAAATGCAAGTTGTTGTTGTCGTCCACCTGAACAGGCATAGCCGGGTCCTCGGTTTAACGTCTCATCGTACAGGTTTAATTAACGACGGCACCTGATCTTAGGAACTGAGCTATAAAGTGGATTCGGTCCCATGAATTGTAATTAAACCTGTACGATTTGCCCTGATAATAACCTCCACCTGTTTACATTACATACACTTCAGCCCTTTACACAGTCTGTAAATATTAGTCCTAAAGACTAACTAGCAGTCAGCAGATGCATGATCTGGCATGTGGGTGTGTGTGTGTGTATATAATACACCACCACTAGTTACTGTGGTCAAGCAGCACCTCAGGGCAGGCCTTTGGCCAGTGATATCCCTCACTGGCACAGTGACTGGCTGTAAGGCAGTACCTCACTGTCACACTGCGGACACGACCGGCAATCCTCATACCCTCACAGGCAGTACAGACCCCCCCCCCACCAATCAATGTACACCCCCGCACCACACCCCCAAACACTGGACTGATCACCAGAGTGGAGGACGCTTTGAGTTCTTATACAAATCACACAGTCACTACACTTTACAATAGATCCCGTGAAACTCTGTGAGACTCTCAATGACATGCTGTCCGACAGGTGCGGTTTATGACTTACTTGGCATTAGAGCATTTAAGTTCCTTATCGGGTACTTTGAGCTTCTCATTTAGGCTGACACTCCAGTGCGGTGCTGGGGGGAGCCCTGCATTGTCACACCTACCTTTCTGTGCAGTGTGTCTCAGTCTGGAGCACTCTCGCCTCGGCGTCAGAAGGTTGTGGCTTCAAGCCCCACGTCAGGATTTGGAATCACACAGTCTAACCAATGCTCCAATGCAGCGCTGGGAGTGGGTGGAGGGGGGTGTTACATTGTCAGAGACGCTGTCCTTCAGGTGAGACGTTAAACTGAGGTCCTGTCCCGTCTGTGCCTGTTCTGGTGGATACAATAGGAATTAGGAGCAGGAGTAGGCCATTCGGCCCCTCAAGCTTGCCCCGCCATTCAATAAGATCATGGCTGATCTTCTGCCCGCCTTATCCCCATATCCCTTAATCCCTCTATCCTTTAGAAACCTATCAATCTCAGTCTTGAATGTGTTCAAGGACCTGGGATAGAATTCCACAAATTCACTACCCTCTGAGTGAAGAAGTGTTTCCTCAACTCTGTTCGAAAGGGCTGACCCTTAATCTTCAGACTGTGACCCCTAGTTATAGATTCTCCTACCAAGGGAAACAGTCTCACACTGTCTATTCTGTCAAGCCCCATAAGTTTCTTATATGTTTCTATAAGATCACCCCTAAAGAATATAGGCCTAGAGAATATTCTGGAGAATATAGGCCTAGTTTACTCAACCTATCCTCATAGGTCACTGCCCTCATCCCAGTTTAATTTCCCTAAGTTGCTCACTAACATTAGCTTCTTGATTCCCCTCTATTTTTGGTACGTTTTCAGTGTCTTCTAACGTGAAGACAGAAGCAAAGTCTTTGTTTAATGACTCTGCCATATCTTTATCCCTTATTATAATTCCTCCTGTCTCTGCCGTAATGGATCCACATTCACTTTTGATGGTTAAAATCAATAATTAATGTGGGTCCATTACAGGCAGAGACAGGAGGATTGTATCACTTTTGATACAATCTGCCAGGTCAAATTCATCACCCACTCCGGGGCTATTTGTGAGCCGTTGCTGTGTGCTAATCGGTTGCTCCATTCGCATGTAAAATCACTACACTTTACAGTGAATCCTGTGAAGCAATTTGAGACGTCTCGACAAGGTAATACGTCACTGTTTGTTGTGTGATATCCTCAGTAATGTTTCTCATTTCCAACAAATCGCCCTGAAATTTAAACTAATTATTCATCTAATGTGCCCGACTGAGCAACTGTGCTGCCCTCCAGTGGGCAAAAGAGCTTTCTGCATAACAATGATTTTTTTTAGCCGACATTTAAGAACCTCGAACATGAGAATTTGCTGGCGAAAGAAGACCAAGGTCCATCTAGTTCGCCTTCCGCCATCCTGGCAGTCGCTTGCACGTGTCATGTCCCAAACTATATACTGTATCCTGAGATATTGTTTCCTAACAGAAATCTATCTAATTTGTTCTTGTAAGAATCAACACTTTCTGCTTCCACCGTCTCCCCTGGGAACCCGTTCCATATGTTTACCTCTCACTCACTGAAGTAGTATTTCTGCAGATTTATTCTGAATTTACCCCCTTTCAATCGCAGGCCGTGTCCGCTGGTTCTACTGCTCAGTAGCAGATAAAAAAGCTTATCATGGTCTACATTATCTAGTTCCTTCAGAATCTTCAGAATACAGAAGACTACAATCATATCGCCCCTCAACCTTCTCTTCTCCAGTGTGAACATGACCAGTTTTCCTGATCGCTCCTCGTAGTCCAGTCGTTCCATCCCCTCAATTATTCTGGTTGCCCTCCTCTGTATCCTCTCAATCTCTGCAATATCCTTTTGATATTGTGGTGACCAGAACTGCACACAGTATTCCAAGTGCAGTCGCATCAGTGATTGATAAAGTGGAAGGATTACCCCACTATTTCGGCTCAATATTGTTCTTTTAATACAATCCGGCATCTGGTTTACCTTATTCACTGCTACCAAGCACTATTGCAATAGCTTCAATTTATTGTCAATCAGGAACCCCAGGTCCTTTTCATTTTCTGTACAGATTTTTTTCTTACCATTTAAATAATTATCCCTTCCTGGATTTGTTGTCCCCATGTGAAGCACTTTGCATGGTCTGCATTGAATTTCTTCTGCCATCAATCTGCCCGATTCCCAAGTACTGTATGTCAAGTCCTCCTGTAACCTATCCTGTTCAGCCTTACAGTCTACCACCTTCATCAGTTTTGTGTCGTCTGCAAATTTGTGGAGTCCTGTAGCTTAGTGATTAGAGCCCTCGCCTCGTAAGCGAGAGGACCTGGGTTTAATTCCTGGCAAGTTTCATTATTCCACACGCCTCTGTTTACCGAGTGATAAGTAGAAACCCAGTTGTTAGTCAATTGGCGGATTCCTTTTCCGGGATAATAATTCCTTCAAAATAAATACAAATAATTTGGTCACTCGATCCACAACTGTTTGTGGGACACTGCTGTGCGCAATTGGATGCCGAGTTTCGCCCACAAAACAGTCAATTCACTTTAGAGTATATTGTGTGAAGCGCATTGAGACGTTTCGAAGATGTGTTAAGGCGCGATATCAAATGCAAGGATTATTATTATTATTATCAGTGCCTCCTCAGTCTGGAGAGAAGACGTCTGTGAGGGGACCTTATTAAGGTCCACACAGTTTTATACAGCACTGAGAAAGTAAACTCAGAGCCAGATTGAGTCACTGCCGTACAATGGGCCCGAGACACAGTGCAGAGGAGAGCAACAAGAGCAATGAGCTGTGAGCAGCGATTAACCAAGCTTTCTCCAGCTGAATGTTGACAAGATCGAGGCTCTGTTGCTTGGCTCCCTTCAGCGCCTTCTCACCTCAGGTGCTGACACCATCAACCTGCACTGTCCAACTCACTGAGTCAGTCAGGAACTTGTTCGACTCTCGACTGTCCTTTATACCTCAATTGGGTGCTCTGACCCACTCAGCTTTCCCCCACCTCCATAGCACTGCCTGCTCTGCAATTACCTCTCCCCTCAGGCTGATGAGACTCTTCTCCAAGCTTTTATCGTGTCCGGGCCTGACAACATGAACTCCCTGCTCCCCGGACTCACTAGTTCCTCCCTCCACAAGCTGCAGATTATCCATAACTCTGCAGCTCATGTCCTCTCCTACACCAGGCTCGGTGACCCTATCATCCCCACCCCCCTCGCCCGGCGCCACTGACTCCCCATCCGCCAGAGGATAGAATTCAAAATCCTCATCTTTACCTTTAAATTTTGTTAAATTTTGTTAAATGTTTCATGACCCCCGGCCCACCATCAGCAGACAGACTCTTAGCCTGTCTGCCCCCCGCTCTCTATAACTCTGCCTTGTCTGCCCTCCCTCACCTCCTGCAACAGTAGGATTAGGGTGAGTGTGTTGTGGGTACGGTGCCAAAGGGCCTTCTTCATCTGAACCGCTCTTGTGATGTGGACAAGTTTTCTGTAATAAACAGCGCTGATAACGAGACAAAGGGTCAGATCCCAACTAACGACACTCACATTCTCCTCTGCTCTCCTCAGCAATGGGTGGAGGGGCTGAGTGCCATCGTTCACAACTTCAGAGCCAGCAGTGTCTGCCCCATGACCTGTCTCAAGAAACAGTTAAGTTACACTTATGGAGTTACTTGTATAAACTGTCAGAGATGGTGATATCTCAGCCTGGCTCAGTGCTCGCACTCTCATCTCTGAGTCAGCAGGTTGTGGATTCAAGCCGCTCACGTTGGGGACTTTGAGTTCACAGTCCAGGCTGACTCTCCAGCGCAGGGCTGGGGGGAGTGCTGCATTGTCAGTGCTGACGTCCTTAGGATGAGACGTTAAACTGAGGTCCCATCTGTGCCTGTTCAGGTGGATGTTAAAGATCCCTCGGCGCAATTGGAAAAAAGAAGGGAGTTTCTCTCTGTCCTGGTCACAGATAGAACCATGGAATAATCCAGCACAGAAAGAGGCCATTCGGCCCATCAGACCTGTGCCGGCTCTTTGGAAAAGCTACCCAATCAGTCCCGCTCCCCCACTCTTTCCCCATATTCCCGCTCTTTCCTGTTCAAGTCCCTATCCAATTCCCTTTTGAAGGTTGTTATTGAATCTGCTTCCACCAGCCTTTCAGGCAGTGCATTCCAGACCGTAACAACTCTCTGGATAAAAAAAATTCTCCTCATCTCCCCTCTGGTTATTTTGCCAATTATCTTACATCTATGTCCTGGCTGACAATCCCCCAGATAAAATTAGTCACTCACTCCATGGCTGTTTGTGGGATGTTGTAATTGTTATTATATTATATGTCACTGTGTGGAAATTGGCATTCACCCAAAAATAAACAGTCCCTACACTTTACAGTTAAGCTCTTGTTGAGACTTTTGATGTGATAAGGGGCTATATCAAACACACAACATATTATTAAATAACACTACAATAGCATTAATATGGCTCTTTTTCTTTTAGCTGGATGAGGTTATCATTCTTGACAAATGTAAATGGAAAAATTCCAGTGAGGAGGTAAGTTTCGCCCACAAATATACGGTCAATTCACAGCATATTCTGTTAAGCGCTTTGAGATGTCTAGAAGACGTGAAAAGTGCTATATCAAATGCAAGGATTATTATTATTATTATTATTAAGTGTGTTAGTGTTAGCCCTAACCCCCACCCTGCCCACCAAATGCAGTCGTTGTCCCCCTCCCACCTCACTCCCCGGTAACTGGTTTCCTGTCAATCCTTCCACTGAAAATGGGAAACTCTGCTTTGCTCAGAGCTCCATCCAGTGACCAAATGTAGTACTTCCCCCTTTACAGCAGAGGAAACCAAAGCTGGGTTTGACGCTGGTCCACAGTGGTTGTTGTGGTGGTGGTTGTTGTTGTGAAGCTGCTCGTTGTTGTTGCGGTTGTTGTTGTTGATGTTGACAACGTTGTTGATGATGTTGCTGTGGTTGTTGTTGTTGTTAATGTTGTGGATGGTGCCAGAGGCTTGGAGGGTTGCGAATGTTATTCCCCTGTACAAAAAGGGGCAGAAGGATAAACCCGGGATCTACAGGCCAGTCAGCCTAACGACAGTAGTGAGGAAACTTCTAGAGACTGTAATCTGGGACAAAATAAATTTTCACTTAGAAGAATATGGGTTAATAAAGGACACCAACACAGATTTGTTGAAGGGAAGGTAGTGCAGTTGATTTAGTTTACTTGCATTTTCAAAAGACGTTTGAGAAAGTGCCACATAAGAGACTTATAAGTAAAATAGAAGCCCACGGTATTAAAGGGACAGTGGTATCATGGATACAGAACTGTCTGGGAGACAGAAAGCAGTGAGTGGTGGTGAACGGTTGTTTTTCTGACTGGAGGGAAGTGTGGAGTGGTGTCCCCAGGGATCAGTATTGGGACCACTGCTGTTTTTGATCTATATAAATGACCTGTATTTCCAAGGCACAAATGATACTAAGCTGGGAAAAGTAGCAAACAGTGAGGAGAATATTAGCAGACTGCAAGAGGATATTTTAACAGATGTTGACGTGACAAAGCTGAAGATAAAGGTGTTAAAAAAGCATTTGGGTTACTAGGCTTTATAAGTAGGGGCATCGAATACAAAGTCAGGAAGTTATGATGAACCTTTATAAAACACTGGTTCGGCTTCAGCTAGAGTACTGGGATCATTTCTGGGTACTACACTTTAGGAAGGATGTCGAGTCATTGGAGAGGATGCAAAGGAGATTTCCCAGGATGGTACCAGGAATGAGGGACTTCAGTTATCAAGAGAGGTAGAGAAGCTCGGATTATTCTCCATGGAACAGTGAAGGTTAAGAGGAGACTTAATAGAAGTTTTCAAAGTTATGAGGAGATTCGATAGGGAGAACAAGGAGAAACTGTTTCCACAGGCGGGTGGGTCGGTAACCAGAGGACACCGAGTTAAAATAGTCATTAAAAGAAACAGGGAGGTGAGGAGAATTTTTTTTCACACAGTGAGTTGTTTGCATCTGGAATGCATTGCCTGAAAGGGTGGTAGCAGCCAATTCGATAACAACTTTTAAGAGAGAAGTAGATAATTATTTGGGGAGAACAAGTTTGCAGAGCTATGGGAGAGCGCGGGGGAGTGGGATTGAATTTGATAGATTTTTTTAAAGAGCCGTCACAGACACGATGGGTTGAATGGCCTCCTTCTGTGCTGTATAATTCTATGATTCTGTGTTGTGGTTGTTTATGTTGTTGTGGATGTTGATGTTGTCCCCTCCACACCGGCCTACAAAATGTCTGCTCCCTCTCAAAAAAAACACTCACCATCCAAGACCTCATCATCGATGAAAACATCAACATTCTCGCCCTTACTGAAACCTGGATCACTCCAGGCGACACCTTCCCCCTGAAAGAGACCACACCACCCGGGTACACCTGCCACCATACCCCCCGAACTAACCACTGTAGTGGCAGGGTGGCTCTCATCTCCCGGTCACCACTCAGCCTATCCCCTTACTCCATTGGAGCCTTCCCCTCCTTTGAACCTTATCCTTTACCATCCCTCCAATCTTTCCCTCAAAATTCTCCTTATCTATTTAGCCCCCAAGCCCTCCCCCATCTTCATCCCCGACATCTGCACTCTCCTATCTTCCGTCTCCCTCTGCTCCAAATGCCTCCTCACCCTAGTCAACTTCAACCTTCACTTCACCCCCTTCTACTCTACCTCTGCTGACTTCTCCTCTCTTATCTCCTCCCTCAACTTCTCCCTCCACATCCACTCCACCGTCTCGGACCTCACAATCATTGACAAAACGATCTCGGACATCACTTCATCTCCCTTAACTCCTCAATCCCTCTCTCCACCACCATCCAACCCACCTCCATCTCCTACCGCCCCTGGAAAAATATCTCCTCCCTCCCTTTCAGCTGCCTTGGAGTCATTTGAAGTTCTTCCGTTCTGGGCTTCCTCGTAATGACCTATCCTCCTCGGTCACTCTTCTCCACAGCTTCCTCTCCTTCACTCTCGATTCCCTTGCTCCCCTCTCTTCCCGAACCATCTGCTATTCATTTAAGTCACTATGGTACACCAGCCACCTCCGCTCCCTTAAAGCACAGATGCGTGCCGCTGAACACACTTGGCTTAAATCGAACTTGACGGTCCATCGGCAGATCTGGCTGGACCTGATCAAATCCTACCGCTCCGGCCTCGCCTCCGCTAAATTGTCGTTCTATTCCAAGACAATCTTGGAGGTCAACCCCAGGCTCCCCTTCTCCATCATCAACCGGCTCCTCCGTCCACCCTCTCACACCTCGCCCATCCTCACCTCTAATGCCACTGTGAGGCAATCCTGGACTTCCTCAAATCCAAATTTGTGAGGATCCGCTCAGCTGCCTCTGCCATTCCGTCCCTATCTCCCCCTCCCACCCGGGCCCATATCCATCCCTCCCTCAACACCTTCGAACCTATCTCCCATTCTTCTCTCACCACCATTATAACCAACATGAAATCGACCACTTGCTCCCTTGACTCCATCCCTACCCCTCTCCTTACCTCCGAGCTCCACCTCTTTGCCTCTCTACTCACAGACATCATAAATCTCTCCCTTTCTACTGGTACTGTTCCTAACCCATTAAAAACAGCTGTCATCACACCTATCCTCAAAAAACTCTCCCTGTACCCATCTGTGCTCTCAAACTACCGCCCCATCTCCAACCTCCCTTTCCTCTCCAAGGTCCTGGAACGAGTTGTTGCTTCCCAGCATCGTTCTCTCTCCATCCTCTTCACAAAACCCTCCAATCGGGTTTCCGTGCCGCCCACAGCACAGATCAGCACTGGTCAAAGTGCCAAATGACATTCTGTCCGTCTGCGACCAGGTTCTTCTGCCTCCTCCTCCTCCTTGACCTCTCTGCTGCCTTTAACACCATTGACCACTCTATCCTCATCCACCGCCTCTCCTCTCACCTCAACCTTCACGGCTCTGTCCTTGACTGGTTCAGATCATACCTCTCACTCCGCCTCCACTTCATGTTCACAAACGGTTTCTACTCAAGCCCTTGCACCATCTTATATGGCGTTCCACAGGGCTCTGTCCTTGGCCCTCTCCTCTTCAGTATCTATATGCTCCCTCTTGATGACATCATCCGCAGACATGGGGTCAACTTCCACATGTATACAGATGACACCAACTGTATCTCTCTGGCTCTGCCCTCGACTCCAGGACCACTGCTGTCCTGGCAGAATGTCTGTCAGACATTAAGTCCTGGATGAGAGCTAACTTTCTCCATTTGAATGTCAACAAGACTGAGGTTCTCCTGATTTGCTCCCGGCAGCGCCTTTACACCTCAGGCGCCGACAGTGTCACCATCCATGGATGCACAATCCACCTCACTAAGACAGGCCGGAACCTTGGCGTCTTATTTGACCTTCAACTATCCTTTCTACCCCACATCCATTTCATGACCTGCTCTGCCTTCCCCCACCTCCGCAACATCGCCCGGCTCCGCCGCTGCCTCACACTGCAGACCGCCAAAACTCTCATACACACATTCATTACATTGAGGCTCGACTATGCAAACTCCCTGCTTTTCGGCCTCCCCAACCCCTCCCTCCATAGGCTGCAGATCATCCAGACTCAGCAGCTCATGTCCTCTCCCGCACTAGGCTCCGTGACCCTATCAGCCCCATTCTCGCCTGACTCCACTGGCTTCCCATCACACAGAGGATACAGTTCAAGATCCTGGTCCTCACCTTCCAAGCCCTCCATAGTCTTGCTCCTCTCTGCCTCTGCAACCTTCTAAACCCCTACCATCCTGCCCGCTCCCTCTGCTCAGTGGGCTCCAGCCTGCTTCACGTCCCCCGCCTCGGCTCACCCACCATTGGCAGGCAGGCCTTCTGCCACTCTGCCCCCACCCTCTGGAACTCCATCCCGCAGTCCCTCTGCCTCACCCCCTCCCTTGCCTTCTTCAAGACCCATCTCAAGACCATCCTCTTCGACCGTGCTTTCGATCACCTGCTTCCCCCCCCTGCCCTCCACCCTCCCCGATGCCGACCCTCATCTCAGGTCCGAAACTCTGACTGTCCAGCCCCTTGGGACATCCTCCTGATGTGAAAGCCGCTATTCAAATGTAATTGTTTTGTTGATGTTGTTGATGTTGTTATTGTTGATGTTGTTGTTGTTATTACAGTATAACGAGGACCTTTGCGTCGGGCAAAACAGAGAAGGTGATATTTCAGGCCCTGAAGGAGCTGGGGCTGCCCAGTGGGAAGGTAGGCCTCAAGATTGGACTTGTCTGATATCAAATAGCCCACGATTGACTGTCCTCCTCGGGGGGAGAGGGGGTCTTCTTACAACTACGCCTGTGCTACGGTGATGTGCTTAGTAAGGGAATGTCAGGAATCAAGCCACCCTCTGTCACGGTCTGTAATTCGGTTCCTGAGCCCAGGTGGGTCTGCAGTATTCCAGGGCACTGCTGATGACAGCACAGCCCAGCCCGGCTCATTGGCAGGACCTGGAAGGGCAGACCAGTCCCTGGGGGCAGGGAGTCATCTCACTCATTAACCTGTTAACCCTGCAAGCCAAAGAAGCAGTGGGAAAGTTTATCAATGAGGAATCTAATGCAATTCCAGCCCAGACTCACTTTGTAGATCCCAGAACCTATGGTTGTATTAAAATATTACTGTTTTGAGATTGTTTTTTGGTCAGCCGCATGTCTGACACATATTGAAACCCATCACCTTGTATAAGAGTGTCCAAACCAAATGTGCACTCTCTCCCTGGAGGGAGATGTCCTGTTTACCTAATTCCGGAGAGTATTAGGCGCAGGTTGGCAAGAGCCAAGGCTTGGGGACCTCAGAGTGTGTGTTGGGGTAACTGCTGGAGTCTAACCAGATAAAACCACGTAGCTTGCCATTGATATCGCTGCCTGGCAAGCTTTCCTGACTGTCCAGCGCCTTGGGACATCCTCCCTGGCAGTAAAGGCAATTCAAATGTAATTTGTTGTTGTTTCCTGCTGCTTGTCCAACGAGGACCACCCTACCCGTTAGAGCTTCGTGAACGGATGGCATCCCGTTTGAGGTTGTGTTGACAGAAAGGCCATTGTTTTTTGACCAGTAAGAATGCTCTCAGCAAGCGCAGGGTTAATGACTGGCCTCCCTCTCTTACAGAACGATGAAATCGAGCCCGTGGTGTTCACCTTTGATAAATTCTATGCACTAACACAAAAGATATGCCCTCGAACTGATATTGAGGAGCTCTTCAAGAAACTGTAAGTTGTCAATCATCCGACTGACTATTCAGCCCATTTCACCAAAACACAAAGCAATTAGCCACAGTTAGCCCCCACCCCCAACACACACACACACAGACACACAAACGCGCACGACACTCAGCACTTCACAGCGTTTCCCATTTCAGCAAAGTGTGAAATTTAGTCAGGTTTTTTAACCGAAATTCTTAAAAGAAACTGCTACAAAACCAAAATCAAAACAGAAGTCGCTGGGAACACGCAGCAGGTCAGGCAGCATCTATGGAGAGAGGAAAGTGAGTTAACGTCTCAGGTCGATGACCTTACGTTAACTCATTTTCCTCTCTCCATAGATGCTCCTGACCTGCTGCGTGTTCCCAACGACTTCTGTTTTCATTTCAGATTTAGAGCATCTGCAGTATTTTGCCTTTTGCTACAAATTCAATGATGTTTAAGAACTTATGACTGTGAAACTTTCCATGAATATTCAGTCTATTCCCGGTGACACCTCCCTGCACCCCCCACCCCCCTCCCATAAACATTACATAGACACAAGCAAAATGTCCAATAATAACATAACAAGGAGATGGTTTCACTCCTCCCTCCTGTGTTCGGGATGGCTGGCTGGTTGGCGAGACTTTCTCTGGCATCGTCTCAGTACTGTGACACAGTGCTGTGGGTGAACACACGCAGGGTATCTATCGTCAAACGAAACCATCGTATTTCAGAGAACAATGTATTTGACACTCTGGTGGCGACCATATTGCATCCTGCTGCACTAACAGACTGAGCCCTAACCTGCTGGTTTGAGACAGAACATTAACTCTTCATTTCCAACATGTTCCAACGAAGCGATCAAAAAGCAAGCACTTGGTTGAAATCTTTGATTTCTTGCTGAAAAGCTGTGCACGACAGAGTGCGTGAGTGAGTGAGTGAGTGAGTGAGCGAGTGAGCGAGCGAGCGAGCGAGTGCGTGAGCGAGCGAGCGAGCGAGCAAGGTGGGAATGTGGGGAGAGAGAGAGAGACAGGCACAGAGAGCTCACTGCGAACATAACTCTAAAAAAGCACATCAGTCACACTGTCAACTTTCACAATTTCACAATGTAATTCAGGGGAATTGGAGTGCGTCTGCATGTTTATCTTCACTGGGGGGAGGGAGGGCTTAAAGGAGGTCATTTTCAGAAGCAGAGGTGCCTCCAGGTGGGTGGGGGCGGTCAATATAAAAATATATATATATACAGTTGATTTGTGCGGAAATATGCAACAGCCTTATATATATTTTTTCACTGAATTCCTTTTCAGCAACGGAGACAAAACTGATTACTTAACTGTAGACCAATTAGTCAGCTTTCTCAATGACGTAAGCGCCTTTCATTTATTAACTGCGTCACCGCTCTGCCCACACTGCTCGCTTCCATCCTGCTCCCAGCGCATGTGGTGCATGAACTGTCCTGAGCCTTGTCTGGTATCCGCTCTCTCCCCTCTCCTCCCCTCTCTCTCCTCTCCCCTCTCCCCTCTATTTTCTCCTCTCTCTCTCCTCTCCCCTCTCCTACCCTCTCACCCCTCTCCTCCGCCCTCTCCCCTCCCCTCTCTCCTCCCTCCTCTCCTGTCCCCTCTTCTTCCTCCTCTCTCCCCTCTCCTCCTTGTGCTGTAACACTGAGAACATCCAGCTGATGGCAATCACCCCTTTTCTTTATGTCGCACTCTTTCTTACGATCGCTGCACGAGGACTGAATGCTGCTTTCCATCACGTTTCAGTTCACACACTCATGGCTTTACGTGTTACAGTCGTGTGATTATCTCTCTGTACGGATCAGCCTGGGATGTGGGTCTGTCTTGGGTTTTCTCAGCTACAGCCGATGCCATGTTTTAAACTTTACAGCTTTACGCAACTTGGTCATCGCGGGAAAGTGTTTCTCCAGATGTGTCGGGCGATTAACCTCTCCGTTACCCTCCCCTCTCCCAACGTAAAATTAGATCCCGCGGTTAAAAAGAAGGCCCACTTCTGGGACACCAGGTCAACGCTGATGTCACTGCCTGAGCCCGTGGTCGCACATATGTGCCCCACCTTCGGTCAGGGACACACTTGTGTTACAAGTGCCCATATTTAACGGAGTCGTTTTATGCCCAGATAAAAATCGGACCCTCACCTCAAAGCTGTGTGTGGGACTTCGCTGTGAGGAAACTTCGAACACCCACAAATCACACAGTCACTGCACTTTACAACGAGTCATGTGAAGCGCTTTGAGACATCCTCCCGATCTGATACGGCCCTATAGGATACGCAAGGATTATTATAATTAGACACCAAGCTGGAAGAGGGGGCAGTGAACAGAAGGTTCAGATCTCATTACTTCCCGAGTAACAGTAAAACGTGTTCCAGAGACGGACAGACGGACGATGAGGGAGAGAGGGAGAGGATCCATGGTGGAGCTGGGAAAAGCAGGGTTTGTGTGTATTGTAGAGAGGAAGGACTGCGTTGTCCTGTGCTCTGGAGCCGGTGTGTAGACCATTACTGAGTGACTCACAGAACAGCAGCCCCCTCCCCGCACAGGGTGACTGACATTTGTCTGAATTTTAAACCACCGATCAACGTCAGATCGCGATGACTAGGCCGTCGACTCTGGATTATTCCATTACGACTTACTCTAAACAGAGACCGAGAGAGAAAGAGATAGAGAGAGAGAGAGAGAGAGAGAGGAAGAGAGACAGTGAGGGAGACAGAGAGATAGACAGAAGGAGAAGGAGCGATACTGAGAGAGCGGGAGATAGGGAGAGAGACACAGAGAGACACACATACGGAGAGAGAAACACACACAGACACAGTCACAAGAGAGAGACCCACACAGAGAGAGGGGCACACACACAGTCACAGAGAAAGAGACGCACACATAGACACAGAGAGAGAGTGAAAGAGAGAGAGATACGCGCACATAGACACAGAGTGCAGAAATCTACCCTTGTCCTAATGAAGTCACTTTAATTTTTATTAAGGAATCGCAAAGTTATCTTATGGCTCTCTGTAAATCCATCCCAGAGCTCCCAGCCCCTCCCACCCACTCCCCACTACCACCTCCCAAAACGCTAGTGAACAGCGCTGTATACCGTAGTAACAGTTTGTATATAGATAATCTATCAGTGTCTGTATATTGTGGATTGTTATCTGTGTAAAAATGTAAGGTGTAATTGTCCTGGGCAGTGGGTTGGGGACTGGTAGGGGGCTGGGTACTGGGCTAGGCTGGGTAGGGGCTGGGTAGAGGGTTGGGCATTTGGGTGGGCAGGGGGGTAAGCTGGGCAGTGGGCTGGTAAGAAGTATTAATCCCAGCTTTTGTTCTGTGGCTGTAGAACCAGAGAGACCCTCGGCTGAACGAGATCCTGTTCCCATTCTATGATAGGAAACGGGTGATGCAGATATTTGAGCATTATGATCCTGACAAAGAGCTGAGGCAACAAGGTGAGAACTTGTTCTTCCACTAAACTTCCTGTCAGCCTGGCTCAGTCACTGTGTGTGTGTCAGCCTGGCTCAGTCACTGTGTGTGTGTCAGCCTGGCTCAGTCACTGTGTGTGTCAGCCTGGCTCAGTCACTGTGTGTGTGTCAGCCTGGCTCAGTCACTGTGTGTGTCAGCCTGGCTCAGTCACTGTGTGTGTCAGCCTGGCTCAGTCACTGTTGTGGTGTGTCAGCCTGGCTCAGTCACTGGTGTGTGTGTGTCAGCCTGGCTCAGTCACTGTGTGTGTGTCAGCCTGGCTCAGTCACTGTGTGTGTGTCAGCCTGGCTCAGTCACTGTGTGTGTGTCAGCCTGGCTCAGTCACTGTGTGTGTGTGTGTCAGCCTGGCTCAGTCTCACACTCTCGTCTCAGGAGTCAGGAGGTTATGGTTTTGAGCCCCCCCGCCCAGGTTAGAGTCTCTGAGTGCACAGTCCAGGCTGACACTCCAATGCAGTGCTGTGGGGAGCGCTGCATTGTCAGAGGTACCAATCCTGCAGCGCTGACAACAGTTTCTGAGCCAGGTTGACACACATAATGACTCCTGTCAGTGTCTGTAGATTTTTTGTGGCTGTTGTCAATGGCTGTAGTTTGTGCGGCTGTTGTCAGTGTGACTGTTGTTTGTGTGGCTGTTTGTGTGGCTGTTGTCTGTGTGGCTGTTGTCTGTGTGGCTGTTGTCTGTGTGGCTGTTGTCTGTGTAGCTGTTGTCTGTGTGGCTGTTGCTGATTGAGACTCTGGGTATTGTCCGCAGGGCGGATGTCGTTTGACGGCTTCTGCAGGTACCTGATGTCTGATGAGAACACCCCTGTGTTCCTGGACCGGCTGGAGCTGTACCAAGAAATGGACCAGTCACTCTCTCACTACTTCATCAGCTCCTCACACAACACCTACCTGACAGGCAGGCAGTTCGGGGGCAAATCATCAGTGGAGATGTACAAGCAAATCCTGCTATCAGGCTGCAGGTTCGTGTCCGCGCTCTCTGTCAGTGCCAGTTTGTAATGTCAGCATGAGAGTCAGTGCCAGTTGTGAGAGTCAGTGCCAGTGTGAGAGAGTCAGTATCAGTGTGAGAGTCAGTGCCAGTGTGTGTGAGAGTCAGTGCCAGTGTGTGTGAGTCAGTGTCTGTGTGAGAGTCAGTGCCAGTGTGTGTGAGTCAGTGTCTGTGTGAGAGTCAGTGCCAGTGTGTGAGAGAGTCAGTGCCAGTGTGTGTGAGTCAGTGTCTGTGTGAGAGTCAGTGCCAGTGTGTGTGAGAGTCAGTGCCAGTGTGTGTGAGTCAGTGTCTGTGTGAGAGTCAGTGCCAGTGTGTGTGAGAGTCAGTGCCAGTGTGTGTGTGAGTCAATGTCAGTGTGAGAATCAGTGCCAGTGTGCGTGAGAGTCAGTGCCAGTGTGTGTGTGAGTCAATGTCAGTGTGAGAATCAGTGCCAGTGTGCGTGAGAGTCAATGCCAGTGTGTGTGAGAGTCAGTGCCAGTGCGTGTGAGAGTCAATGTCAGTGTGAGAGTCAGTGCCAGTGTGTGTGAGAGTCAGTGCCAGTGCGTGTGAGAGTCAGTGCCAGTGTGTAACATTACACATGGTTGTTTGTGGGATGTTGCTGTGCTCTAACTGGATGCTACATTGGCACCCAGTTACTACACTCTACAGTGAATCCTGTAAAGTATTTTCAGACGTCTGCGTGATGTAATTTAATGTTGTTTTCTGTCTCTTGTTATTGCAGGTGTATTGAATTAGATATTTGGGATGGAAAAGGGGAGGATCAGGAGCCCATTATAACACACGGCAAAGCCATGTGTACAGACATCCTCTTCAAGGTAACCATACTACCTGCCCCTGCAGAAACCCATCGCTGTGATCAGCCTGTTGTCTAACACACACGGAAATCCATCACCATGATCACCCGGGTGTTTGACACACGCGGAAACCCACAAAATGTCAACTTAGAGCAGCATCACTGAGTGAGGCTCAGGGAGCAGCAGAAAACCCTCGCTGCAGGAATTTTACATCAGTTATGGGAGAAGCTGGTATCACAGTTATTCTTAACATCCTGCGTTGACACAGCGTGTAATGTTGACGTGCTGACACACACACACCACACACACAGTGTAATGTTGACGTGCTGACACACACATAGTGTAATGTTGACGTGCTGACACACACCACACACACACAGTGTAATGTTGACGTGCTGACACACACACAGTGTAATGTTGACGTGCTGACACACACAGTGTAATGTTGACGTGCTGACACACACACAGTGTAATGTTGACGTGCTGACACACACACACACAGTGTAATGTTGACGTACTCATACACACAGTGTAATGTTGACGTGCTGACACGCACACACAGTGTAATGTTGACGTACTCACACACACACACACACACAGTGTAATGTTGATGTGCTGACACAGTGTGTAACGTTGACAGGATGTGATTCAAGCCATCAAAGATACAGCGTTTGTCACCTCTGAGTTTCCTGTTATACTTTCGTTTGAAAATCATTGCAGGTGAGTGAGGCCTGGCAACAACAGCAACAATAACTTGTATTTATACAGCGCCTGCGTACCAACATCTGTAATTACTGCAGCTCTCAGCACTGAACATCTGTAATTACTGCAGCTCTCAGCAATAAACACCTGTAAATACTGCAGCTCTCAGGGCTAAACATCTGTAAATACTGCAGCTCTCAGGGCTAAACATCTGTAAATACTGCAGCTCTCAGGGCTAAACATCTGTAAATACTGCAGCTCTCAGCAACAAACATCTGTAATTACTGCAGCTCTCAGCAACAAACATCTGTAATTACTGCAGTGCTGTGGAGTAATAATGTTTGCGGGTTGCTGTTGACTCATAGACAAGGCTAAGTTTGTTGTTGTTGTTGATTGGTCTCCCCCAGTAAACCGCAGCAGTACAAGATGGCAAAGTATTGTGAGGAGATTTTTGGAGACTTCTTACTGAAGGTGCCGCTCGAGTCCTTTCCGGTACGATTCTTTCTTTACATCAATTTCCGTCCAAAAGCCTTTCCCCTCGCGGCACCAGCTCTCACACCTCTGTAAACTCTGTCCTCTGAGGGATGGGGAGCCAATGCAGCCGGGTGAGGATGGGGGTGATAGGGTCACAGAGCCTGGTGGGGGAGAGGACACGAGCTGCAGAGTTCTGGATAGTCTCTTAGCTTGTGGAGGGAGGAGCTGTAAGTCTGGGGAGCAGAGGGTTGGGGTGGTCAAGCCTAGGGTGTGAATGAGGGTCTCAACACCACGGGTGGGAGGGGGAGGTTGTGGTGGTGACAGGCGGTGAAGGAAAGCCAAGTGAATGAGAGCCCTGATAGAGATGAGGGTTTGCTGGAAACACAGTGGAGGGTGTGGCTGGAGATTGTTATAAGATGCTGATGTGTGCACGTCTCTTCACAGCTTGACAAGGCACAACCTCTGCCATCTCCCAATGACCTCAAAAGAAAAATACTGATCAAAAATAAAAGGTTAAAGCCTGAGGTGGAGCACAGTAAGTCACAGCACATCACAGCTGCTCTTTTTCCACATCACTGCAACCAATACACTCTCCTTGTAACAAGCAATAAGAGGGCAGGTTGCAGTTCAGTTCGTTGGAGTCCTGTAGCTTAATGGGTAGAGCACTCGCCTCGCAAGTGAGAAGACCTGGGTTTGATTCTCGGGCAGGGCGAAACCTTAGGCAAGTTTCCTTACTCCACTTACCTCTGTTTACCTTGCAGTAAGTAGGAACCCGGTTGTTAGTCGATTGTCGGATCACTTTTCCGGTGGTAATAATCTGTTCAAAAAAAATAATAATAATAATTTGGTCACTCCCTCCACGGTTATTTGTGGGCTCCAGTTCTGCCTTCCAGCAGCTGTCACCCCAAGCCTCAGAGTTTCCTCATCAGCTGTCTGGGGGGCATCTGCCTAGTGTAGTGAGGATTGAGCTGGGCCCATGGCAAGAAGGAACAGGTTGACTTGGAGTCAGAGGTGAACGTGGAAACACATGCTGTCAGCCGGGAGGTTTGCACTGCGCTGGCAACGACGTGTAATGATCTGACTTCACTTTCAGAGCAACTGGAGACCTTTAAGCAGCTGATGGAGGGCGGGGAGAGCAGCAGCCCGGCCAGCCTGCTGGACGACGAGATCGAGGAAGAAATCGAAAACGGTAAAGTTGACGATTCGTAAAATTGCCGTGCAATTTCGTAAAGCTTCCGGCAACCGTGAGATGTGTTGCAGTCGCTGTGGTTGTAATTGAATGGTTGTAATTTTCTTCTGTCCTACATTTCTAGCTGACCTGTCTCCGATATCCGGTAAGAAAACACGTTCGTGGATGAGAGGGGGGAGTGGATTTCAAAACTCTTTCTTTTATATCAGCTTCACAAACCCCTGTGTGAGAGCCTGGGTGGGTTTGAGTCACTTAGTCAAGAGCCACTGGCGAAGCCTGTAACTCATTCACATCAATTGTGTCAGTTACTGAGGGTAAGTGCTTGCTAACTCAGGCAGTGCGGTCAAAGAGCAAACAAGTACAACACAGGGACAAGCAAACAGGCTGAATGCCGGCCCCATTCGACTCAGCTAAACAGTCATAATTCTTAATAATAATCCACACAGCGCCTTTCACGTCAGGAGGACATCTCAAAGCGGTTCACACGGTTTACTATGAAGCGCAGTGACTGTGTTTTGTGGGTGAGCACAGCAGCTAATTTGAGCACAACAACAGCAATAACTTACGTTTATATAACACCCCTCATGCAGGGTAGGATCCCAGAGCACAGCAATGGTTCCGCAAACAGCCATGAAGTAATTGAGTGATTTTATTGGTGGGATTGGGTGCAACTCATCGCAGCTCGGGTGCAAATCCTTTGCTGTCCAGCGCCTTGGGACGTCCTCCTGCCGTGAAAGTACATGCAATTTGTTGTTGTTGTTCATTTTCAGCCAGGATTCCTAGAATGCTTAGGTATTCAATTTCAAACAAACCATCCTTCCCATTACCTTTTGATGTAAATAAAAATAATAAACCCAGCTTCCAAATCATGAGAGTTCCTCTCTCTCTCCCAGTATCCTGGCCGACAATCTCCCGGATAAAATCACTTGTTCACTTCACGGCTATATGTGGGATTTTGCTGTGTGCAAATTGGCTGCTGGGTTTGTCCACAAAACACACAGTCACTACAGTTTACAGTAAATCGCATGAAGTGCTTGATTTTATAAGGCGCTCTATCAAACCTGACGGATTTGTTCTACATTGTCATTTTCTTGTTGACTTGTTTTCTCTGATGAACTCTTTTCTCATGCTGAGCAGTAAAAGTGTTGGAACTCCGCTCTCCTTCCTTGTATGAGTTACAGAGCTTCGGAGTGAGTTACAGGGAGGGCGTCAGACTCACAGCATGTGCAGCTCATGTCCGTGAGTAAAGGTGCTAACATTAACCCCAGTCCTTTTGAAGGAAATCTGTGTTGGGTGCTGCTTTGTCAACTCTGGGCAGGGTATTATTAATTGGTTCACTTGCCAAACTTACATCTGTGGACAACACTGCAGATATTTTTACAATAAATTTAACAATTCTAGAGAAACAAAGCCCAGCGTTTGAGGCTTGTGGTTCCAAGGAGTGTGCATACTTAGCAGCATCTTATACTGTAATCCTGACTTGTCTATCTCTTCCCCGCGCATGACCCCAGCCCTCCCTCCTCAGGTGATTTGCACCGAACCTGCCACTGCCCCATCTTGTGCTGTTGACATGCGGGTACTTGGTGCTCCAATTCTCTGCACGTTTGATGTTGTGGGAATGAGGAATGGCAGCATTGTAGTGGTCGCAAGCTGCACTGTTGAGTCGTGGGTGCCTTGAAGCAATTGGGATTGTCTGCAATTCTAAGAGGCTGATCAAACCACACGCTCGTTCAGGCCAATTCATTTCAGCCCACGGACTGATATTCCTGATCAAGTCATCATCAACAAATTCAACCCATTGGGTCTCTCTGAGCACACGCTTAAAATGACAAAACAACAAGAGTAAAACTTACATCAGTCTTATCAGTTGGGATCTTAATACTCAGTATGACTTACGTGATGTCCAAGTTGCAGACAAACTGTATAAGTCGCATAAAATCAAGTTAATCAATAATCTACTCTGCATATGTGTAATTCATAGAATCATAGAATCTTGGAACACAGAAAGAGGCTATTCGGCCCATCGTGCCTGTGCCAGCTCTTTAGAAGAGCTACCCAATCAGTCCCACCCCCCCGTTCTTACCCCATAGCCCTGCACATTTTTCCTCTTTTAAGTACCTATCTAATTCTCTTTTGATAGTTACTATCAAATCAGTTTCCATCACCCTTTCAGGCGTCCATTTCAGACCATAACAGCTCTGTGGGTAAAAACAATTATCCTCGTCTCCCCTCTGGTTCCTTTGCCAATTATCTTAAATCTGTATCCTCTGGTTACTGACCCACCCACCAGTGGAAACAGTTTATCCCTATCTACTCTACCAAACCAGGCTGACACACACACAGTGACTGAGCCAGGCTGACACACACACAGTGACTGAGCCAGGCTGACACACACACAGTGACTGAGCCAGGCTGACACACAGTGACTGAGTCAGGCTGAGAGCTAACGAGAGGTGAAGTGCTGAGAGCTGTGTGTAGGGAGGAAAGCTTTGAGGTATGTTATAAATCAAATCTGCTGTCGGAGCCCCATTTGCAGTTTGTCAGGAGTTGGTGATCTCCAGGCTACAAACTGCTGTGTTTAATCTGCTTTGTTCCTCGCCTAGTTGATCAGGATGAAGAGGCCCATCCTGAACTCAAGTTCCACAGTGAGCTCTCCGCTGACCCCATTAGCCAGGAGAAAGAGGTGCACGTCAACAGTGTGAAGAAGGTCAGTGTTTTTCACACAGCTAAAGTTTGGAGTTGCTACACCCCTCACCTCCCACCCTCTCCCCCACCCTCCATCTAACCTCTTTGGAAATCCCTTCTCTCCGGCCCTCTGTTTCACCCCTACATTATCTCTGATAAGTTCACCTCAAATCTTACGACTTTTGTGGAACGTTATGATGCACAGATTGGCTGCTGGACATTGTCGGTTCGCTGTGTGTCTGACACACACTGTGATGGATTTCTGTGTATGCCAGATAATCCCGCTCCCAGTCAGGGGCCGAGGCTACACTGCCCTTGGTCTTCCCAGCGTCAAGAAGGGGAAAACCAGCCAGTCTTCCTGCTCCAAGTCCTTGTACAGTACCCTCTGCTGGCTGTTTGTGTGCGTGTGTGTGCATGTGCATGTTCCCGTCCCCCAGAAGTTCAAGATCCTCGTCCTCATCTTTAAATCCCTCCCTGGCCTCGCTCCTCCCAACCTCTGACCTCCTAAAACTGTACAAACCCAGCCGCTACCTCTGCTCGGTGGGCCTGTTCATGGCCCCTGCCCTACCCACACCACCCCCAAAGGCATTCAGCCACTTTGCTCCCTGCTCCCGCTTTGCTGGACTGCCTCCAACTCACTCGCCAGATTCCAAAGCCTGATTAAAGGTTTACAGTCCCTCTCTGATTTGACCTGTTTCAGTCATCTTTCTGCTTCACCACCCTCTTTAGATCCTCTTCCCCCCCCCCCCCCCCCCCGCCACAAGGGCAAGCATTCTGAGACATCCTTCCGACATGAAAGTTATGTTAAACCTTTACAAATTGCTGGTTAGGCCTCAGCTGGAGTATTTTATCCAGTTCTGGGCACCACACTTCACGAAGGATGTCAGGGCTTTGGAGAAGGTCCAGAGGAGATTTACAACAATGGTACCAGGGATGAGGGACTTCAGATATGGTGAGAGACTAGAGAAGCTGGGGTTGTTCTGTGTAAATGTAAACCATGTTATGTTTATATTTATCGTATCTTGAGAAGTAAACCCAACACTGGGTGGAAGTGACTGTTTATTAATATTGAAGAGCACACAGTGTGTGAGCAGAGGTCATGTCACAGGGGTATGATATGATGTGAAATGCCATGTTTTCGCAGGTGATCGAAGACCCTGAGCAGGACAATAAGAAGGTAAAGCATTTGACAGCCAGAGAAAAGCATCACCAATCAACCACTTATTTAGCATTTACACAACAGCTAACGTGCTAACCCAGATCAGACTGCATCAGACATCATCACTGATTTACTTCATCCTCACAGGAACAGAGAGACCTGGGGGTTCACATACACAAATCTTTGAAGGTGGCAGGACAAGTTCACAAAGCTGTTTAAAAAAAAGCATACGGGATCCTTGGCTTTATAAATAGAGGCAGAGAGTACAAAAGGAAGGCAGTTTTATTGAAACTTTATAAAAATCGCTGGTTAAGCCTCAGCTGTGTCCAATTCTTGGGACCACACTTCAGGAAGGATGTCAGCGCCTTGGAGAGGGTGCACAGGAGATTTACCAGATTGATACCAGGGATGAGGGACTTCAGCTATGTGGAGAGATTTGAGAGGCTGGGATTGTTCTCCTCAGAGCATTGAAGGTTGAGGGGAGAACATGAGAACATAAGAAATAGGAACATGAGTAGGCCATCCGGCCCCTCGAGCCTGCCCCGCCATTTGATTATGGCTGATCTTCTAACCTAATTCCATTTACCCTCCCTATCCCTTTATCTCTTAGATTTTAGATTTAATAGAGGTATTTAAAATTATGAGGGGATTTGATAGAGTCGATAGGGAGAAACTGTTTCCACTGGCGGGTGAGTCAGTAACCAGAGGACACAGATTTAAGATAATTGGCAAAAGAACCAGAGGGGAGACAAGGAGACATGTTTTTACCCAGAGAGTTGTTATGGTCTGGAATGCACTGCCTGAAAGGGTGGTGGAAGCAGATTCGATAACAACTTTCAAAGGAGAATTGGATAGTTCCTTAAAAAGTAAAAATGTGCAGGGATATGAAGTAAGAGCGGGGCAGTGAGATTAGTTGGGAGCTGGTACGGGCACGATGGGCCAAATCAGCACCTTCTGTGCTGCAGGATTCTATGATTCTAAGATGTATAATAATGTACACACACACATCAGCAGCTTTGTATAACTGATTCTGTGTCAGTGTGGTCAACGCCTGCATAACTACTACTCCATTGCTGATTAACTAACCGTTAGTGATCAACTCAGCCTTTTAACTAAATCTGTTATTATTGTTTGCTGAGTGCAATTCCGCAGCCGAGTTCACCTCCAAATCACACAGTCACGACACTTGAAGTTAATCCTGTGAAGAGCTTTGAGATGTGCTTCTGATGTGAAAGATACTGTGTGAACGGCACGGATTAGTATTATTCTGGGATCACTCTGCTATGTGTTTCCTGTTCCCCACAACGCAATCACAGTGTGTTTCCTGTTTCCCAGGGCACTATCACAGTGGAGGACGAGCAGGCCTGGGTGTCGAGCTATACGTATGTTGGAGCCACGACTAACATCCATCCATACCTGTCGGCCATGGTCAACTACGCCCAGCCCGTCAAGTTCCAGGGCTTCCAGGTAGCCGAAGGTACCCAGGATTTTACTAACGATCTGCCTGACATTGTCAGTGGATACACATAGCAGTAATAATATAACAGTAGCAATATAACAGTATCAATAGGTGCATTGTCAGAGGTACAACAACAACAACAACAAGATTGCATTTATAGAGCGCCTTTCACGTCGGGAGGACGTCCCAAGGCGCTGTACAGTTGGGTCGGGACCCGAGCATTGGGGGGAAATGGTCAGGGTGGGGGGAGGGAGCGAGGAGGGGGTAGAGAGTCGAGCGGGGAGCTGAAGGCTCGGTCAAAGAGAAAGGTCTTGAGACCGGCCTTGAAGGAGGAAAGGGAGGAAGCAAAGCGAAGGCACTGGGGGATAGAGTTCCAGAGCCTCGGGGCTGAGAGGCTGAAGGCCCGACCACCGATGGTAGGGCGGTTGGGGCGGGGGATGTGGAGCAGACCGGAGCCGGAGGAACGGAGGGTACGGGCAGGAAGGTAGGGGGATAGTAGGTTAGAAAGGTACCGTCCTTTGGATGAGACGTTAAACTGAGTTTAACAGTCCGTGCCTGTTAAAGATCGCATGGCGCTGTTCAAAAAGAGAAGGGAGTTTTTCTCTATCTCTCGGCTGACAATCCCCCATTTAAAATTGGCCACCCATTTCATGGCTGTGTGCGGGATATTGGTATGTGCAAATTGGTTGCTCCGTTCACCTAAAAATCCACAGTAACTACACTTTATAGTAAATCATGTGAGGCGCTTTGAGACGTCTCAGTGGCATGAAAGGCACTGGACCAAATGTAAGGATTGTTGTTATTATCCTGCATTTCAAAGCTAGCATTTTGATTGCATGCTTTGAATAATAATTTGATAAAGCGCCTTATCATATCGCCGAGACATCTCAAAACGCTTCACAGGATATTCTGTAAAGTGTAGTGACGGTATTTTGTGGGTGGACGCAGCAGCCAATTCGCACGCAGCAACATCCCTCAAAAAGACATGAAGTAAGTGACCAATTTTATCTTGATGGCCAGGACACCAGGAGAGAGAAACTCCCTTCTCTAGTGGAATTTTTCTTACTGTTTCATACTTGCCTTCACCACTTGATGGCAGCAGTTCTTTTTGTAAACGACCTCGTCTCTTCCTCTCAGATTTGTTTTATAATTTTAGCTATTCCACTCAGCTCCCTGTGATTTTACCCTGGTCGTCAGTGTAAACCTCACGTGGCAGATGCAGAATAGCTACAATATGTCAGCATTTTCGTTCCCCGAGCTCCCATCCGCCTGATCAGGTGGATGTTAAAGATCCCGCAGGGCTACTGGAAAAAGAGAAGGGAGTTTCTCTCTCCCAGTGTCCTGGACAACAATCCCCCAGATAAAATTGATCACTCACTCCATGGCTGTTTGTGGGACGTCACCCTGTGCAAATGGGCTACGCTTTCACCTACAAAATACACAGTCACTCCACTTTACAGTAAATCCTGTGAAGCGCTGTGAGCCATTTTGATAATTCCGAATGTATGGGAGTTGGGAATGGGAGTTGGGATGCCTGTTGGTTTGTCTCAGGTTTCGTCGGTTTCCAGCAGATTTCCGCTTGTTGTTTTGACAGAGAGGAATATTCACTGCAACATGTCTTCATTCAATGAATCGGTGGGACTGGGATATCTGAAGACTCACGCAATCGAGTTTGTGAAGTATCCTTTGTGATCGCTGGAGGTGATTCATTTCAAGCCAAAAACGTGAAGAACCAAAACATAAAGGCTCCTCAACAGAATAAATATAATCTTTACATTCGATACAGTGCCTTTCACGTTGGGAGGACGTCTCAGAACGCTTCACAGGATTTACTGCAAACTGTGTGATTTGTTGGCAAACGTGGCAGCCAAAAGCACACAGCAACATTCCCCAAACCATCAGGAAGTCAATGACAACAATAACTTGTATTTATACAGTGCTCTTCACGCAGTGCAGTGACTCAGAGAGCTTATCAGTGGCGGAGCCTGACACAGAGCTGGAGGCGACCGTAAGCACAATCGAAGAGGAAGGTCTTCAGGTGTGATCTGAAGACAGCAAGGAAGAGACGTTGAGGCAGAGAGTTCCAGAGTATCGGGGCATAGGAGCTGAGAGCATGGCTGCCAATGGTGGAGCAGAGGAGACGAGGCTGGAGACGAGCCAGCTGAGTGAAGGGGTGAGGGGGTTAGAGGAGTTGGGAGTGAGCAGCTCGGGGGGTAGGGAGGTGCAGGGGCTTGATATGCCTTGTACGTAAGTTTGAGGATCTTGAAATGGATCTGTCCTGCAATGTGGGGATGGGGGGCGGGGGGTGGGGGGTGGTTCCTGTGATGATTGGCATTGGGAGGTGACTAAGGTGTGGACGAGGGTTTCGGCTGTGTTGGGTGTGAGTTATGATCGGAGGCGGGCAAAGTCGCAAAAGTGGAGGAAAGCGGGCCGAGTCAGATCGGATGTGGGGAAGGAAGGACAGCTGTGGGTTGAACCTGACACCAAAGTTAAGCGCAGGTTCATTAAGTGAGGAAAGTTAGGGAAGGTTAGGGAGGTCAGAGCCACAGGTGAGAAGATGCTGACAGGAGCCAAGGAGGATGGCTTCTTATCAACATTCAGCTGCAGGAAGTTTCTGTTCATCCAGGCCTTGATGTCTGACAAGCAAGACCTGGGGTCATGTAGATTTGGGTGTCATCCGCAAACATGTGCAAGGTTTTAACCAATTTTGACCAATTTTTTAACACCCTGTTTATGCGCAAATAGAAAATAATAGGGAATTACAACTGTCAGCCTGGCTTAGTTGGTGGCATTCTGGCCTCCGAATCAGAAGGTTGTAGATTCAAGTCCCACGTTAAGCTCACAGTCTAAGCTGACACTCAAATGCAGTGCTGGGGGGGAGGTGTCCATTGTCAGAGGTGCCGTCCTTCAGATGAGACGTTGAACCAAGTCTGTGCCTGTTCAGGTGGACGTTAATGAGAAGGGAGTTTCTCTCTCCCGGTGTCCTGGCTGACAATCCCCCCAAATAAAACAGTTCATTTACTACACTTTATACACAGTAAATCCCGTGAAGCGCTTTGAGATGCCCTCCCGACGACGTGGAAGGAGCCACATCAAACACAAGGATAGTTACTCGTCACGGCTGTTTTTTGCGGGACATTGCTGCGTGCAGCCAGCTCGGTTGCTATGTTCACCTATAAAATAGAGCCGGCACACAGTAAATCCTGCAGAAGGATGTCTTCCTGGGGTGAAAGGTGTTTTATATCAAACATAAGGATTATTTTTGTTTGTTTGATTGAGTGGGTTTGTATGGGAAGTAAATGCTAATCAGGGTGCTGAAGTATAAACATGTACAGAGCCTGCATCTGAAGACCTTCCAGTCCATTTTTCCTCAACGAGGTTCAGCTATAATAAACGTCAAATGAGTCGTATTTACCCTAAGGGAGGCCGAGTGGATTCCAGTAATTACATGCCTCAGATCTTCTGGAACGCTGGCTGCCAGATGGTCTCCCTCAACTTCCAGACCCCAGGTAGGGAACCTTCTCCTCTCAGTCCAAATCTCATTCCAAAGCACAGGCACTTACTCCCCTACATATGCTGCGCTTCGAACCACACCCCGAGCCAGCACTGCTTCCACCGGCAGACATGGCAAAGCTGAGAGAGCTGAGGAGCATGCAGTGAGGGGGGGGCAGGGGGGAGGCCTAGAATCACTGCATTTATAGAGTGTACTTCATGTGGGGTAGCGTCCCGGAGCGCTTCACAGTGACAGAGTCTGACAACGAGCCAAGGGGAGAGAGGGGTAGGGAGGTGACCGTAAGCATGATCGAAAAGGAAGGTGTTTAGGTGGGATTTGAAAGTGGAGAGGGAGGGGGCTACAGAGCAGAGCAACCAGGCAGATCCCCACGTTTAGAGGAATGAGCTGCGAGCAACGACTAGACAGGATCGGGCTCTTCAGTCTTGAGAGAAGACAGCTCAGAGGGGACCTCATAGAGATTGTAACATTTTAAATGAGATTGAAAATTAAACCCAGATCATTACTTTCGGATGCACCGAGACAGTAGAACAAGAGGGCACAGGGTTAGAGCTGTAAAGGGGCAATTTCAGGACAGACACCAGGAAGTGTTTCTTTACCCAGAGGGTAATTAACGACTGGAACAGGTTACCAGGAAGGGCGGGTTGAGGCCAGGACACTGGGACTCATTTAAAAAGCAACTGGATGCTGTTATAGGGGGACGTTAGAGTGGGTTTTCTGGAGGGAGATCAAATGGGCCGAAGGGTCTTCTTTACCTCAGTTAGAAGCGTAATCATTTACCACTATCATGTTCCTGTGACATTTTCTGGATTATCAATATATGAACGAGTCTGACTGTGGAATCTTGTGATTATATGACAGATTTGGCCATGCAGTTGAACCAGGGAAAGTTTGAATACAATGGCTCATGTGGGTAAGTGCTGCCACAGAGTGTTCCTGGAGAAACAGTGATTCCTGTCAGATCTCAGCCTGGCTCAGTCACTGTGTGTGTCAGCCTGGCTCAGTCACTGTGTGTGTCAGCCTGGCTCAGTCACTGTGTGTGTCAGCCTGGCTCAGTCACTGTGTGTGTGTCAGTCTGGCTCAGTCACTGTGTGTGTGTCAGTCTGGCTCAGTCACTGTGTGTGTGTGTGTGTGTGTGTGTGTCAGCCTGGCTCAGTCACTGTGTGTGTCAACCTGGCTCAGTTCAGTCATTCACACTCTGGCCTCTCAGTCGTTGTTGTTCGGTCAGAAGGTTGTGGGTTCAAGCCCTACGTGGGGGACTTTGAGCTCCTAGTTCAGGCTGACGCTCAATTGCAGGGCTGGGGGGAGCGCTGCAATTTCAGAGGTGCCGATCTTTGGATGAGACATTAAACCGAGGTCCCGTCTGTGACTGTTCAGGTGGATGTTAAAGATCTCATTTGAAAAAAGAAGGGAGTTTCTCTCTCCCCATGTCTTGGCCAACAAATCAAATCCCCCAAATCAAATCGGTCACTCACTCCATGGCCGTTTGTGCTGATGCATTTGCCTACAAATTACAGTGACTTTACTGTAGTCACTTTACAGTAAATCCTGTGACATGTTTTGAGATGCCTTTATCCTGACGCTGTATCAAATGGAATGATTATTATTGTTATTCTTGCTGCTTGTGTTGAGGAGTATTTATGACAAGCTACACCAGTGTTACTCTGTGTGTATTTGATTTCACTCTGTAACAGGTATCTCCTGAAGCCAGAATTCATGCGTCGCCCAGACCGGACCTTTGACCCATTCTCTGAGACCCCAGTGGACGGGGTCATTGCAGCCACCTGTTCTGTAGAGGTAAAACAGCAACAACTTGCATTGATATCAAACAGTTAGCATCTTGGAGCGTTTAACAGTGACAGAGCCTGACCTTCAGCTGAGGGGAGGAGAGAGGTGATTTGAAGATGGACAAGGAGGGGGTACGATTGAGGGAGTGAGTTCCAGAGTCTCGGGACGGAATGGCTGAAAGCACAGCCGCCGATAGCGGAGGGGATGAGGGACAAACAGGAGGCCAGAGCCAGTCGTAGAAGCCAGTGGAGTGGCCAGTTGGAGAGGCGCGGAGGTGCCAGGGCATGAAGGGATTTGTAGATGAGTGTGAGGATCTTGAAATCAATCCGTTCTGTGATTGGGAGCCAGTGGAGCCTGACGAGGACTGATCTGATGGGGGACAGAGTTTAGTGCAGACATGAGTGGTGGAGTTTTGAATCAGTTTATGAATGGTGGAGCTGCGGCGACCAGCGAGGAGGGCATTCGAGTAGTCAGGGTGGACAAGGGTTTTGGCTGTGTTGGGGGTGTGTTACGGTCGGAGGCAGCCGATGTGACGGGTGGAGAAAAGTAGTCCTGCCTAGGATGTGTGGAAGAAGGATAGTCGGGGATTGAAATTGAAATTGACGCTGGTTACACACAGGACACTGGGTGTTCTGGAGGGATGTCATTAGATTGGCCGAAGGGTCTTCTTATGAGGGGGTTTCACAGTGAGGAGAGAGAAGCGATCTCCACTGGTGGGGAGTCAGTGACTGGGACACACAGAGATCAGATAGTCACCAGCAAAGCAAGAGTTGAGCTGAGGGCAGGGGTTGGGAATGGCTGAGGCCAGGGGTTGGGAATGGCTGAGGCCAGGGGTTGGGAATGGCTGAGACCAGGGGTTGGGAATGGCTGAGGGCAGGGGTTGGGAATGGCTGAGGGCAGGGGTTGGGAATGGCTGAGGGCCAGGGGTTGGGAATGGCTGAGGGCAGGGGTTGGGAATGGCTGAGGCCAGGGGTTGGGAATGGCTGAGGCCAGGGGTTGGGAATGGCTGAGGCCAGGGGTTGGGAATGGCTGAGGCCAGGGGTTGGGAATGGCTGAGGCCAGGGGTTGGGAATGGCTGAGGCCAGGGGTTGGGAATGGCTGAGGCCAGGGGTTGGGAATGGCTGAGGCCAGGGGTTGGGAATGGCTCAGGGCAGCGGTTGGGAATGGCCGACTCACGTCAGTTGTGTAATTGTCATTGCTGCAGGTAATATCCGGCCAGTTTTTGTCGGACAAGAAGATTGGGACCTACGTGGAGGTAGACATGTACGGTTTGCCCACCGACACCATCCGCAAGGAGTTCCGCACCCGCATGGTGATGAACAACGGCTTAAACCCTGTGTATAACGAGGAGGCCTTTGTATTCCGGAAGGTACGTCCCAGATTCAGTCGGCTGCTTCCTGGCTTCCTGGGAACGTGGCGGTCGGTGTACAGGAAGTGAGACTGGACTGGGTGTCACTGTGTTTCAATCAGTTCTTAAAGTCAGTTACAAAGACTAGATTTTACAAAAAATGCACTTGATGGGGAATCAACGTGTGACATTTGTTTTGCTCAGCAGCACGACAGTCACATCTACACGGTCTTTTCTCTGTATGTACATCAGTGTGTGAGTGTGTGTGTCTGTGTGTGAGTCAATGTGTGTGGTACCTGTGTGTAAGTAAATGTGAGTATGTTTATGTGTGTGTGTCAGTGGGTTTGTGTGGGTGAGTGTGTGTGTCAGTGGGTTTGAGTGGGTGAGTGTGTATGAGCGTGCGCCATGCGCTGTGGTTCCTAGTGGCTGTGTAGGATGAGCTCGTTGGTTGAGGAGTCGTGTGAAGACAACGTGAGCTGTTCTGTATTGCAGGTTATCTTGCCTGACCTGGCTGTGCTGAGGATAGCGGTTTATGACGACAACAGCCGACTGATTGGCCAGCGGATCCTGCCTCTGGACGGGCTGCAGGCGGGTTACCGGCACATCTCCCTGAGAAACGAGGGCAACAAGCCACTCTCTCTGCCCACCGTCTTCTGTAACATTGTCCTCAAAACCTACGTCCCTGACGGCTTCGGAGGTAAAGCTGCTTAGGTTCAGGGCCATCAATAAACAGCTACGGCTTGTCTGTGGCAGAGTGTGTCAGCCCGGCTCAGTGTGTGTGTGTCAGCCCGGCTCAGTGTGTGTGTGTCAGCCCGGCTCAGTGTGTGTGTGTCAGCCCGGCTCAGTGTGTGTGTGTCAGCCCGGCTCAGTGTGTGTGTCAGCCATAGCCCAGTGTGTGTGTGTCAGCCATAGCCCAGTGTGTGTGTGTCAGCCATAGCCCAGTGTGTGTGTGTCAGCCATAGCCCAGTGTGTGTGTGCGAGATAGCCCAGTGTGTGTGTGTCAGCCATAGCCCAGTGTGTGTCAGCCGTAGCCCAGTGTGTGTGTGTCAGCCATAGCCCAGTGGTGTGTGTCAGCCCGGCTCAGTGTGTGTGTGTCAGCCCGGCTCAGTGTGTGTGTGTCAGCCCGGCTCTGACTGAGTCTTTGAAAAGCACTCAGACGTGCTGTTCTCCCTGTGTGTCGTTGTTGTGTGAGTGTAAATTGTTGTATAAAGATTAATGCTGAGCTCCTATTCTGCTGCCTCTTTCTGTTTGTTGACCAGACATTGTGGACGCTCTATCAGACCCAAAGAAGTTCTTGTCAGTGATGGAGAAGCGAGCTGACCAGATGAGGGCAATGGGAATCGAAACTGTACGTTAAAAATAATCAACTCCTCAACACTGATTGTAGCCTGCAGTTATTGATAACTCAGCGAGACAGATCTTTAAGGATCACCTGAACAGGCACATGTCTCTTGATTATGACGTCTCATCCGAAGGACGGCACTTGCTACAGTGCGGCACTCCCCCTAGCAATGCGTCAGAGCTTCAGCCTAGACAGTGGCTCAGAGTCGCCAACGTGGAGCTCAGACCCACAACCTTGTGCTACGCACAAGTGAGCAACGGAACCAGGCTGAGAGCTTTGTGTAGTTGAGGCCTGCTCCATGTCCCCCTCCCTGCCCGCTCTAGTATCATCATCAGACTTTCACCTTTCTGCCCCCAGGCTTTGGAAATCCATCCCACAGAAATCCATCCCTTTCGCCTTGCCCCCTCCCTTGACTCAAGACCCTCCTCTTCGACCGCGCCTTCAGTCACCCTCCTACCTTCCCTGCCCTCCTGATCCCAATTCCTAGCAACTCAGGACAACCTCCCGATGTGAAAGGTGCTGCATAAATGCAAGTTGCTTTTGGGCAGCTCCTGCTGACTTGGGCAGTAAAGCACAATGATGTTCACACGGGCCTTTCTCTCTGACTGTAAACAGAGCGACATTGCAGACGTACCGAACGACAGCTCCAAGAATGACAAGAAAGGGAAGAGTAACATGGGCAAGAGCAGCGTGACTCCCCAGTTGAGCTCCGAACTACGGCACAACTCTACGTTAGGCCAAGGCACTGGCAACAATGCCAAGAGAGGTGAGAACAACTGCAAACCACAACAATATTACTCTCGGGGTCAGGCTCCCACTGTTAAGCGTTCCGAGACGCTGCCCCGTGTGAAAGGCGTTGTGTAAATGCAAGTTGTTGTTGTCTTCTAACTTACATTTGATTTGGTGTGAAGAAAACGACAAAGATGGTGTGGAGTATAAACCCCGGACATGGACTAGTTGGACCAAACGGCCTTTGTGCGTGTTATCTCGCTCTGTATGTAACTTCAGTCCATGCCCAACACTCAGTGCTGCAATCTAATCTCTTCACAGACACAGCGGTGATATCTCAGGTTAACATTGAGGACCTGAAGCAAATGAAGGTAATTTTAATGAGTTTTTTTTGAAAACACGATAGCGTGACCTAACATCGTGTTCGAAACTTCCCCAAAAAGCTATATTGTGTGTAGCACACGCCCAGTTATTCTCAAGGTCGCCCTGAGTCACAGCTCAGCTGTCAGCTGTTCCCCCACACCCACTCTCCCCACTACGGCCTGGTCCCTCCACACTGCGTAGTCAATGCTGCTGCTGACCACACAGTGGCCACACTGCTCACTGGGTATTGTTACTCCATCATAACAACAAACGCCACAACACATTACATTTATACAGCGCCTTTCATGTCGGGACGACGTCCCAAGGGACTGGACAGTCAGGGATTTGGACCCGAGCAGGGGGTTGGGATCAGGAAGGGGTGGAGGGTTGGGCTAGGAGGGTGACTGAAGGCGCGGTCGAATAGGAAGGTCTTAAGGCGGGCCTAGAAGGAGGCGAGGGAAGGGATCAAGGCAAAGGGACTGTGGGACGGAGTTGCAAAAGATGGAGGCTGAGAGGCTGGAGGACCGATGCTGATGGTGGGACAAGCCAGGCGGGGGAACGTGGCGCCTGCTGAGCAGAGGGAGTGGACAGATCGATATGGGGTTTGTGGGTCGCAGAGGTAGGGAGGAGCAAGGCCATGGAGGGCTTTGAAGGTAATCAGAGCACACTGGGTATTGTAACTTCACTCGTGCTAGAACCATAAAGCCATAGACGTATACAGCACAGAAGAAGGCCATTCGGCCCATTGTGTTTGTGCTGCTCCTTTAAGAGCAATCCTTTCAATCCCATTTACCTGCTCTTCCCCACCATATCCCTCTAAGCTACGTTACTCCTCTTTAGGTATGTATCTAGTTTCCTTTTGAAAGGAAAGGAAACTATGGGAACTCTCTCCTCGCCGGCCTTCCCGCCACCTCCCTCCACAAGCTGCAGGTCATTCAGAACTCTGCAGCTCGTGTACTGTCCCGCACCAGGCTTCGGACCACATCACTCCCACCCTCGCTCGCCTCCACTGGCTCCCCATCCCCCAGAGGATTGATTTCAAGATCCTCATCCTCACCTACAAGGCCATTCACGGCCTTGCTCCCTCCTACCTCTCCAACCTACTATCCCCCTACCTACCTGCCCGTACCCTCCGTTCCTCTGGCTCCGGTCTGCTCCACGTCCCCGGCCCCAACCGCCCTACTATCGGTGGTCGGGCCTTCAGCCTCTCAGCCCGAGGCTCTGGAACTCCATCCCCCAGTGCCTTCGCCTTGCTTCCTCCCTTTCCTCCTTCAAGGCCGGTCTCAAAACCTTTCTCTTTGACCGTGCCTTCAGCTCCCTCTCGACTCTCTTCCTCCTCCTCGCTCCCTCCCTTCCCTCCCCTCACCCTGACCATTTCCCCCTCCTCTCTCCCTCCCCTCCCTCCCCTCACCCTGACCATTTCCCCCCTGCTCGGGTCATGACCCAACTGTGCAGCGCCTTGGGACGTCCTCCTGACGTGAAAGGCGCTCTATAAATGGAATCTTGTTGTTGTTGTTGTTGAAAGCTATTATGGATTCTGCCTCAACCGTTGCTCCTGGCAGGACATTCTATATCCTAACCGTTCTGTGAGTGAAAACATTACTCTTAACCTACCCATTTGCTCGGTTACTAACTATCTTGCATTGATGCCCTGTAGTCACTGACTCACTGACCAGTGGGTATAATGTCTCCCTATTGACTCTTATCACATCCCTGAGCATAGGGCATACAGGGAGTTGTTCGGGTCTGGAATGCACTGCCTGAAATGGTGGTGGAAGCAGATTCAATAACAACTTTCAAGAGAGATGTGGATAGATATTTGGAGAGGAGAAATTTGCAGGGCTATGGGGCGAGCGCAGGTGAATGGGATTAATTTGGACAGCTCTTTCAAGGGCCGGCACAGGCACGATGGGCCAAATGGCCTCCTTCTTTGCTGTATAATTCTATGATTCTATGTGTCCCTGGATTTGGTTCACAAAATACGGTCACCTTATCCAGGATGGAGTTGCAGAGAGCGGATAGGGAATGGCAGATAGGGTGAGTTTCAAGCGAGGACAGTAAAATCATTTTTTTTTACATTTTAGCCCTACTTGAAATTACTGAAGAAGCAACAAAAGGAATTGAGTTCGCTGAAGAGAAAGTACTCCAAGGTACAGGATCTGCTGCGTTCATCAGAACAGCCCACCCACGGGAGACCATCAGCCCACATCCCACCCAAACTCCGACCCCTCCCATCCCATCACTGTTTCCCAACATTTAACAACGACAAGTGTGAAAAATCTCTTCATTTTGCACCTCAATGGGAATCCCACTTCCCACAGTTGTTAATAATAATAATCCTAATAATAATCCTTACATTTGATACAGCGCCTTAAACGTCTCAAAGCGCTTCATAGAATAGACTGTAAAATGAATTGACTGTATTTTTGGGGCGAAACCCGGCAGCCAATTGTGCACAGCAGTGTCCCGCAAACAGCCGTGGATTGGAACATAGGAACAGGAGTAGACTGTTCAGCCCCTACAGACATGCCTTGAACAAGGCGAGGGTGGGAGCGAGGTGGAAGGACTCTGGATGGAGTTCCAGGAAGTGCGGACAGAATGGCTGACGGTGAGGATTGGGAAAGGACACGAGCTGCAGAGTTCTGGACGATCTGCAGCTTGTGTAGGGAATTGTGTATGGCGTCCTGTTAGTCGTTAGAGCACTCGCCTCGCAAGCGAGAGAACCTGGGTTTGATTCCCGGGCAGGAAGAAACATTGCGCACGCACACTTCCTGACTCCACATGCCTATGTCTACCGAGCAGTAAGTAGGAACCCGGTTGTTAGTCAATTGGAAGATTGCTTTCCCTTCAAAAGTAAATAAATAAATAGTCACTCAATCCATGATTGTTTGTGGGACACCGCTGTGTGCAATTGGCTGCCGCATTTCGCCCACAAAATACACAGTCGCTATACTTTATAGTATTTTCAGGGAAGTGCTTTGAGACATCTCAATGACGTTATAAGGCGCTATATCAAATTCAAAGATTATTATTATTTGAATCCAACCTTAAAACCCAACTCTCTGCCCGTGTGTATGGCTCCCTCCCCCTGCTCGGGGTCCCCTTCCACTTCCCCTCCCCTTCCCCTCCCCCTGATCAAGCAACGAGGCTTGTTTGCAGACGCTGTGTTTGTAGGAATCGATTCGAATGTCACGATTACTCCCTCCCTCTCACCCTCTGACGTCAGTAAGGTGTATACACACACCCCCACCCACCAAAGCTGACGTCTTTTCTGCTGCTCTGGGAAAGAGCTGCTCATATGATCTCCTGAAGCACAAAGCTCACAGCACTGCCGTTTAATAGGGACCCACGTTATTCTCCAAGAAGCTGATGATGCAGAGATTTTTTTTCAGAGAGAGCGAGAGCTGCATCAGATGTTGGCAGATATTAGTGATGCTGGCTTGTGTTAAACAGCTGCGGGCAAAGCGTGGGACTTGATCGACTGCAGCTTTGTAATGAACGTGTGCAAGGCACAAATCATTTCACATGGTGCTTTCATTCATTTCATTGCTGATTGGGTGTATTTTTGCAGAATAATAACCCTTTGCATTCGATGCAGCACCTTACCACATTGTGTAAACGTCCCAAAGCACTTTTCAGGATTTGCTGTAAAGTGCAGTGACTGTGTGTTTGTAGGTGAAGGCAGCAGCCAATTTGCGCACAGCAACATCCCACAACAGCCAGGAAGAGAGTGACTGAATTATATCTGGAGGGTTTATCGGCCAGGGCACCGAGAGAGAGAAACTCCCTTCTCTTTTTCAACAGCGCAGCGGGATCTTTAACATCCACCTGAACAGGCACAGACTTGGTTTAACGTCTTATCCAAAGGACGGCACCTCTGACAATGCAGCACACCCCCCAGCACTGCGCTGTGAGCTCAAAGTCCTGACGTGGGGGGTTGAACAAACAACCTTCTGACTCAGAGGCAGTCGAACCACACTGTAAGGATTTGATGAGCCTCATTCTCAAAGCTGTTTCCACTTGTTGGCAACCAGTAACAGCTCTGACAGGGAGGTTAGCATAGTGTGTGAGGGGAATAGTGGGGGGAGTAGAGTGATGTAGGAGAGGGGAATCATGCTGCGGAACTCTGACCATCTGTCAGTGCCTCACGAGTTTGCTGTAAGGTGTAGTGACTGTATTCCTGAGTTTCATTCAGATATGGATGTTGAGGTTATGTTTTCCCAGCGTTTCTTGGTTTTGTTTTTGTTATTCTTGAAGGAAGCAGTTTAAATAACCATTTCAACACGATAATAATACTCGCATTTGCTTTCTCGCCTTATCACATCGTTTAGACGTCTCAAAGTGCTTCACAGGATATACTGTAAAGTGTAGTGACTGTGTATTTTGTAGGTCGAAACCTGGCAGCCAATTGCGCCCACAAACAATTGTGGATTGAGTGACCACATTTTGGGGGAGGGGATTATTACCCCCAGAAAGCGATTCGCCAATCGACTAACAACTGGGTTCCTACTTACTGTAAGGTAAACAGAGGCGTGTGGAGTAAGGAAACTTGCCTAAGGTTTCGCCCTGTCCAGGAATCGAACCTAGGTCTCTTGCTTGCGAGGCGAGGGCTCTGACCATTACGCTACAGAACTCCATGTAACCCAGGTTGCGTTCTGTTGGCATGTTGTGCGAGCTGCGGAGAGCATGTTTAACGCTCAGCTTCTGGTCCACAGGAGCAGAGCTCCACTCAGAAGCTCCACTGCGTACAGGTGGACAGACTGGTGGCTCAGCACGACAAGGAGAAGCTAACACACGAGAAGATTTTAGACAAAGCCATCAAGAAAAAAGGGTAAGGCAGATCTCAGCATCATCTTTCATTCAGAAACTGGTTTGAAATTTCACGTTTCAGTTCATATCTCAGCCTGGCTCTGTCACTGTGTGTGTGTGTGTCAGCCTGACTCAGTCACTGTGTGTGTCAGCCTGACTCAGTCACTGTGTGTGTGTGTGTGTGTGTGTGTGTGTGTGTCAGCCTGGCTCAGTCACTGTGTGTGTGTCAGCCTGGCTCAGTCACTGTGTGTGTGTGTCAGCCTGGCTCAGTCACTGTGTGTGTGTCAGCCTGGCTCAGTCACTGTGTGTGTGTGTCAGCCTGGCTCAGTCACTGTGTGTGTGTGTCAGCCTGACTCAGTAACTTGGTGGGTCAGCCTGGCTCAGTCACTGTGTGTGTGTGTGTGTGTGTATCAGCCTGGCTCAGTCTCTGTGTGTGTGTCAGCCTGGCTCAGTCACTGTGTGTGTGTCAGCTTGGCTCAGTCGTCACTGTGTGTGTGTCAGCCTGGCTCAGTCACTGTGTGTGTGTGTCAGCCTGGCTCAGTCACTGTGTGTGTGTCAGCCTGGCTCAGTCACTGTGTGTGTGTCAGCCTGGCTCAGTCACTGTGTGTGTGTGTCAGCCTGGCTCAGTCACTGTGTGTGTGTGAGTCTGGCTCAGTCACTGTGTGTGTGTGTCAGCCTGGCTCAGTCACTGTGTGTGTGTGTCAGCCTGACTCAGTCACTGTGTGTGTCAGCCTGGCTCAGTCACTGTGTGTGTGTATCAGCCTGACTCAGTCACTGTGTGTCAGCCTGACTCAGTCACTGTGTGTGTGTGTGTGTCAGCCTGGCTCAGTCACTGTGTGTGTGTCAGTCTGGCTCAGTCACTGTGTGTGTGTGTCAGCCTGACTCAGTCACTGTGTGTGTGTGTCAGCCTGACTCAGTCACTGTGTGTGTCAGCCTGGCTCAGTCACTGTGTGTGTGTGTGTGTGTCAGCCTGGCTCAGTCACTGTGTGTGTCAGTCTGGCTCAGTCACCGTGTGTGTGTGTCAGCCTGGCTCAGTCACTGTGTGTGTCAGCCTGGCTCAGTCACTGTGTGTGTCTACTCTCGTGTCTGACACAGGAGATTGTGGGTTCAAGTCTTCGGGTCGGGGCCTCTGAGCTCACAGTCTGGGCTGACTCTCCAGTGCAGAGCTCGGGAGAACACTTGAGACTCAGCTTGTTGCTCTCACACTGAGGATCATCTCCCCTTATATCGCGGGGTCCATAGCTGTGTACAAACCCAGCACAGAAACGCTGATCAAAGTGTGGCCTCCACTTTTCACAGTCACTACCCTTGGCCTTCAGAGAGGCGGTGCTCGATGGGAGAACGGCTAATTAGTGCAGTAAAATAATCCAGTCTGGACAGCACTCTTACATGCTCTCTGCGGTCATTTTTTCTTTTGAATCTCATTCTTCCTAAACAAAGGTCTTTAAATAATAATCCTGGCACTTGATCTAGCGCCGTATTATGTCTTCGAAACGTCTCAAAGCGCTTCACAGGATATACTGTAAAGTATATATTTCGTCTGTACATTCTGTGTGTGAAACATAATCAGTGTGAGAGAGCACTGTGTGACAGAGCACTGTGTGACAGAGCACTGTGTGACAGAGCACAGTGTGAGAGCTCAGTGTGACAACAGTGTGACAGAGCACAGTGTGACAGAGCACAGTGTGACAGTGTGACAATACACAGTGTGACACAGCACAGTGTGAACAATACATAGTCTGACAGTGTGATAATACAGTGTGACAGAGCACAGTGTGACACAGCACAGTGTGACAGTGTGATAATACAGTGTGACACAGCACAGTGTGACAGTGTGGGAGAGCACAGTATGACAATATACAGTGTAACCAGAGTGCAGTGTGACGGTGTGACAGAGCACAGTGCTGATGGGAAGGTAGTGGATTTTATTGATTGTCTTTCTCTTTGTTGTTCTCCAGGGAAAGCAACTGTGTTGATTTGAAGAAAGAAACAGAGATGAAAATCCAGTCACTATCTTCAGACCACAAGATGAAGGTAATCTCTTCTGGGTCCTGTGACAAAAGGAACGAGGCCATTCGCTGGACTTTGTGTCGTCCATTTAACTGTTATGTTTCCTCCTCCTCTGAGCTGTGAGTTCAAGCCCCAAGTCAGGACACTGAACTCAGGAGGAGCTGTATCAAAATGCAAGGATTATTATTGGAGTTAGGATTGTTGGCCAGAACATTGGGAGAGAGAAACATCCTTCTCTCTTTGTATAGACTGATCACTGTGATGGGTTTCCTTGTGTGTCAGAACCCGGCTGATGATGATAATAATAATAATAATAATCCTTGCATTTGACACAGCGCCTTATCACGTCTTTGAGACGTCTCAAAGCGCTTCACAGAATATACTGTAAAGTGAATTGACCATATTTTGTGGGCGAAACGCAGCAGCCAATTGCACACAGCAGCGTCATGGATTAAAGAGGCTAATTCTTTTTAAGGAATTATTACCGCCAGAAAAGCAATCCGCCAATCGACTAACAACCGGGTTCCTACTTACTGCAAGGTAAACAGAGGTGTGTGGAGTAAGGAAACTTGCCCAACATTTTGCGCTGCCCGGGAATCAAACCCAGATCCTCTCGCTTGCGAGGCGAGGGCTCTAACCACTGAGCTACAGGACTCCACAATGGGTTTCCATGTGTCTCAGATACCCAGCTGATCACTCCTGGGGGTGGGGGGGGCTGGGGGCTGTGGGTGGGGAGGGCTGGGGGCTGTGGGTGGGGAGGGCTGGGGGCTGTGGGTGGGGGGGGCTGGGGGCTGTGGGTGGGGGGGGCTGTGGGTGGGGAGGGCTGGGGGCTGTGGGTGGGGGGGGCTGTGGGTGGGAGGGCTGGGGGCTGTGGGTGGGGAGGGGTGGGGAGTGCTGGGGTGGGGTGGGCTGTGGGCTGCGGGCTGTGGGTGGGGAGGGCTGGGGGTGGGCTGGGGGCTGTGGGTGGGGAGGGCTGGGGGTGGGCTGGGGGCTGGGGTTGGGGAGGACTGGGGGCTGGGGTTGGAGAGGGCTGGGGGCTGGGGTGGGGAGAGCTGGGGTCGGGGAGGGCTGGGGGTGGGGAGGTGTGTGGGAGGGCTGTGTGATGGGGGTGGGGAGGTGTGTGGGAGGGGTGTGTGGGAGGGCTGTGTGCTGGGAGTGGGGAGGGTGGGTGCTGGGGGGGGAGGTGTGCGGGAGGGCTGTGTGCTGGGGTGGGGAGGTGTGGGGAGGGCCGTGTGCTGGGGGTGGGGAGGTGTGCGGGAGGGCTGTGTGCTGGGGGTGGGAGGTGTGGGGAGGGTGTGTGGGGAGGGCTGTGTGCTGGGGGTGGGGAGGTGTGCGGGAGGGCTGTGTGCTGGGGGTGGGGAGGTGTGCGGGAGGGCTGTGTGCTGGGGGTGGGGAGGTGTGCTGGAGGGTGTGTGCGGGAGGGGCTGTGTGCTGGGGGTGGGGAGGTGTGCGGGAGGGCCGTGTGCTGGGGGTGGGGAGGTGTGCGGGAGGGCTGTGTGCTGGGGGTGGGGAGGTGTGCGGGAGGGCCGTGTGCTGGGGGTGGGGAGGTGTGCGGGAGGGCCTGTGTGCTGGGGGTGGGGAGGTGTGCGGGAGGGCCGTGTGCTGGGGGTGGGGAGGTGTGCGGGAGGGCCGTGTGCTGGGGGTGGGGAGGTGTGCGGGAGGGCTGTGTGCTGGGGGTGGGGAGGTGTGTGGGAGGGCTGTGTGCTGGGGGTGGGAAGGTGTGTGGGAGGGCTGTGTGCTGGGGGTGGGGAGAGCTGGAGGAGGTTATTGCTGTGACAGAGACAGTGTTTGTGTTGGCAGATGAAGCAGCTGGTGGGCCAGCAGACCAAGGAATGGTCTGAGATGGTGAACAGTCATAATGCGGAGGAGCAGGAGCTGCGGGACCTGCATGTGATGGAGCAGTGCGATGTGCTACGTAAGCTGCTGGTCAGTGAGCACGAGCAACAAACACAGCAGCTCAAGGTCATCCACGACAGGTAGGGCAGTGAGGCCTCCCCACACCCCTACCCACTCTGCCCAGGCCAATGAGACAACCCCCCGCCCTGCCTCCTACACTGCCCCCGCCCGGCGCCACCCCTCCCTGCCCCACTCCCTGCCCTGTTCCCTGCCTACTGCCCTCCACCCCACCCTTCCCCAGGCCCAGCAAGGCAGGGTCTCCCCATCCCTGCTACATCCCGTGGCTGCTGGTGAGATGTTTGTGTGCAAATTGACTGTCTCGTTCGCCCACTAAATACACAGTCACTGTATTTTAAAACAATTCCTGCGAACCCCTTTGAGATGTATTCCTGATTGCTCTATCGAATATGAGATCATTACTTAATCTATTGAAAAGTTTAGTGATTGAGTATTTTGTAGGCCAACGAGGCAGCAAATTTGCACACAGCATCATCCTACTAACAGCCATGGAGTAAGTGACCGATTGTATCTGGGGGATTGTTGGCCAGGACAGCGGCCATCTTTAACATCCACCTGAACATTTGTGTCAGACATGGTTGGTTGCTCTTTCGCCTCTTGAGTCAGAAAGTTGTGGGTCCAAGCTGTGCATTACACACTTGACCTCACCCGGTCTTGGCTGACGCTCCAGTGTATTGCTGATGGGAGCGCTGAATTGTCAGAGGTACCGTTATTTGGACGAGGCTTTAAACCCAGGTCCCGTCTGTGCATGTTCAGGTGGACGTCAAAGATCCCGCGACACTGCTACAAAAACAGAAGGGAGTTGCTCTCTCCCGGTGTCCTGGCTGACAATCCCCCAGAATAGAATTAGTCAGTCACTTCATGGCTGTTTGTTGGACACTGCTGTGAGCAATTGGGCTGCTACATTCACCTATAAAATACACAATCACTACACTTTACAGTATATCCTGTGAAACTCTTTGAGACATCTCTATCTAACAATAATAATAATTATTAAAAATTATAATAATCCCTCACGAAAAAAGCACAATAATAAATTGGCCGCTTCAAACCACGACTGTTCGTGGGACGCTGCTGTGCGCAATTGGCTGCTGCGTTTCGCCCACAAATATAGAGTGAATTCACTTTACAGTATATTCTGTGAAGCATTTTGAGACGTCTAGATGACGTGATGAGGCGCTATATCAAATGTAAGGATTATTATCTATAGTAAAGGCGAGGATTATTATTATATTATCCGCACAGAAAAAGGCTATGCCTCTAAAAATAAATTCACTCTGTTATTCTCAGCCATTAAAATAATATTCTTTCTGCACAGGGAGAGACAAAATTGCCTTCCTAATAAGATGGAATGATCTCTTGAAGTTAAAACCTGTTTAATGTGGTCGCAAGCAGTCAGGTAGTATTTAACTGCTGGCAAGGTTTCTAATCAGAAAGCTGATTCTTTTGTTCATGTGTTGTATCCTGGTGGCTGCTAGGATACATCGCTCTATAAATACAGTATATAAATATATATATATATATATATAATGATGCACCTCAGCAGGAACGCAAAGAAAAGCCAATTTCTGAATACATTGTAATATGCATTTGCTACAGAGGCTTCTATGCTCGGAGGGTGTCTCCTAGCACCTCACTGTACACATGAGGATTGCTTGTTTTGCTGTCCAGAAGAAATTGGTTGTTCACGTCATGGCTGTTTTGGGGCACTGCTGTGTGTAAATTGGCTGCGTCGTTCGCCTACAAATCATGCAGTCACTACAGAAGAAGCTTTTACAGGTGTGCTCCTGACGTGAATGGCACTATATGTAGCTCAAGGATTAGTATTAGAAGTATATTGCACCGTTTTGTAAATTGTGTTGAATAAGCCTATTAGTGTTTCATCGGACTGGGCCAGGGAATCCTCCCACTCAGCTCCTGTTAACCCTGCAAGCCAAAGCCCTAACAGGGAGGGTGGTCCTAGCTGGACAAGCCGCGGGAAAGCTTGCCGGACAGTAATATCAATGGCAAGCTATGTGGTTTTATCCGGTTAGACTCCAGCAGTTACCCCAACGCACATTCTGGGGTCCCCAAGCCTTGGCTTTTGCCAACCTGCGCCTAATACTTTCCAGAATTAGGTAAACAGGATGTGTCCCTCCAGGGAGAGAGTGCGCATTCCATTCCAACAATTTCTCTCTGGGATTTCCATGTGTAGGTGGGATGCAGGGAAACCTCAGCTTTGTTTGGAGACTCTGAAGCATGGGTCAGACACTCGGCTGGGCAAAAGAAAAGTTTCATTGGATACCCCAATATCCCACAAACAGTAAACCTTGTGAAGGTGTTGGAGATGCCCACCGGACGTGATAGGCTTTGTAACAATAACAACAATAATAATATTTGCATTTGATATAGCGGCTTATCTGGTCTTCAAGACGTCTCAAAGCGCTTCATAGTAAAGTGAATAGACTGTATATTTCTAATTCTATGTATGTATCAAGTGCGAGGACTGTTATTATTGTGATCGACCCAACTGTAGTGCTGAGCGGGGTGGTTGGATGGGGGGGGGCTTACAGAGCCAGGCCGTCAGCTGTACCATTACTCTCTGAGAAAGGTCTTCCCTGTGCTTTGTTTCCCAGGCTCAGCAAGGAGATGAAAGCCAACCAGGCCAAGAGCTCGATGGAGAACAGTAAAGCCATCAGCCAGGACAAGAGCATCAAAAACAAGGCGGAAAGAGAGAGGCAAGTGGACCATCCGTGTCTGTTCTACTTGGGATCAGACAGAAACAGCTCAATATGTCTGGGGGAGCCTAGGCTTTGCTTTGGGATTGACGTTTCAGAAGCCCCTAACCACTGGAGCCCGCACGTCCCTCCTTTCGGTCTTTAAATCCTGCCTCAAATTCTACCACTTTGACCTAGCCTGTTGTGACCTCCCCTCGCTTGTCACTTTGATGGAATTCTGCCACTCTGATGGGTTTCCCCGTGTGTCAGACCCCCAGCTGATCACGGTGATGGGTTTCCTTGTGTGTCAGCACTGCCTCTTTGGAGTGTTGTCCTTCAGATGCCACATTAAACTGGGTGTGTCCTGTTTAGGTGGACATTAAAGATCCTTTGGCGCGATTGGAAAAGAGAAGGGAGTTTCTCTCTCCTGGTGTCCTGGGCAACAATTTCCCCAAATAAAATTGCTCATTCGCTTCATGGCTGTTTGTGGGATGTCGCTGTGCGCGAATTAGCTGCCGCATTCACCCACAAAACATACAGTCACTACACTGTATAGTAAATCCTGAAACATCCTCCCTCGTCCTTCCATTGTATCAGATGTGAGGATTATTCTTTGTAACGTAACCTTTGTAAGGAAGCAGTGACTGCCTGTGAAGTGAACCTTGAGTGGAACTGAGCTAGCTGACGCTCTCTTTCTCTCGCCCTCTCCCCAGACGGGTCCGGGAACTGAACAGCATCAACACCAAAAAATTCCTGGAGGAGAGGAAGCGAGTACGTTACTGCGTTAAGTAGACAGAGTCCTGTTCTTTCCTCTGTGCGGTGGCAACGTGCAGCGCAGGCCTGTTAGATTGCGGTAGCCTCCAGCGGTAAAACACCAGTCGGCTGACTCGCCAAAAGAAAATGGCCGATGTCTGGCTGGTCAGGTCACCAAGCAGGAAGAGACGTCGAAGGCCACCTCGTGACCTGGAAGTTGGCTGATTTAGCGCAAATATCCCACGTGGGAAGCTGGGATTTCTCTCCAATCGTGTGTAAACAAAGGGATGAGTTGTTCGCCTATCCCACTCATGGGTTGGATAGGAGCGCAGTGTTTTCAAAAAAGGCAGCCCGCGATAGCAGAAGACAGCAAGGGCTCAGGGTGGGGACATTGAGAACTGTCTTCTGTCACATTCGCTTGCTTCATATTTGGTACCTCATGTCCATCACCATAGAAACGGACCACCATGCCGGTCTTTGCTCCTTCTCAGGAGCCATAATTCCTAGCCCCTGCTCTCTCCCCGTCCCCTCTAATCCTCTTCCTCTAAACGTGCGTGTCCAATTCTCTCTTACCCCCCCGCCACCCCTTGCCCCCCTTCCCAATCAACTCTACTCTTTAACAGCCCCTCCTTTAAGTTTTAAGCCCCTCATTCTTACAAATCACTCCATGCCTTAGCAGTTCCCTACGTCTCTGACCTGCTCATAAGCCACTGCTCTGCTCAGCTGTCACAGGCTTGCTGCACATCCCCCAACCCCTCCACACCATTACCATCAGTAGCCGAGCCTTCAGCCACCATCCCATAACCTCTGGAACACCATCTTGTGCTTTATTTATCTATCTTTAAATCCGACCCAAACACTTTGACCACGACTTTGGTTTGCCTCCCAACCCCTCCCACCAATCCTTGCTCAGTATGCAACCCTGCGCTGGTGAAATGTTATCCGATGTGAAGGGCACTGTACAAATGCAATTTGTCGTCCGTATACTCACCCGTGCTAAACTCCGTACCCCATCACCCCAGTCCTCGCCAGGCTCCACTGCTCCCTATCACATAATGGATCGTTTTCAAGATCCTCTAAATCATCTGCAAATCCCTTCATGCCCTGGGACCTCACTAACTCCTGACCTGCTTATTTCTCAACCCACTATCCACTGCCTCCACTCGGCTGGCTCCAACCTCCTGCACATTCCCTCATCCCCTCCGTTCCACCATCGTCGGCCGTGCTTTCAGCCAATATGCCTCAGGTCTGTAGAAATCTCTCCCCCAATCCCTCTGCTTTGCCCCTCGTTCCCCTCTTTTAGATTACACCTGAAGACTTTCCTCCTCGACCGTACTTACAGTCACCTCCTGCCACCCCACCAGCTCGGCATCATACTCCGCCATAGTTAAGCGCTCCGAGGCACTACCCCACGTGATGGGCGCTGTGTAAGTGCAAGTTGTTGTTTAAGTACAATATGTAACATTGTTTTGTAGCTTGCAATGAAACACGTCAAGGAAGCGGAACAACTGAAAAAAGCTCAACTTGAACAGCTGGATGGTTTGGAGAAACAAAACGAACAGGTAAAAAGTTATCTGCTTTGATAGTTAAACTTATACAGACTTCAGTTGTAGGAAAAAGACCAATTGCAGGACAACCCTGCTATAATGCGGGTTCCCCTGGGGCTCAAACCGTTTCTTACCCAGAAACTGAAATGGAGCCTCTTTGTACATATTTCCCCAGCTCAGATGCAATCTCTACATTTTGCAGCGCCTTGGGACGTCCTCCTGATGTGACAGCCTCTGCATAAATGCTATCGGTTGTTGTTGTTGTTAGGCACTGACTGACATGTGAAAAGCGATGAAAGGGCTTCGTTCTGCATCAGATTATCACAGTTCTAAATGGCTAGAAACAAGGCGTCCTATTTGATGATTCCAAATCAGCCTGCGATACCAAAACAGCCATCAGCATTGTTTATTGTCTAACACGTGGGGAATCTTGGGCTCCTCAAGCCTTGGCTCTCGCCAGCCGGTGTCTAATCCTTTCTGGGATTAGGAAAGCAGAATGCATCCCTCCAGGGAGAGAGCGCAGAGCGCACATTCCATTCCAGACACCGGAAATTTCAATATACAATGCAAAATTTGTTTATATATACCACCTTTCACATCCAAAGGACGTCCCTCTGGTATGTAGGCAGCAGATATACGTGGAACTCTCAGTCTGGTTTGGAGACTCTTAAACATGGCGATGTATTTCTGTGTGTATCCAAAAAAATGGTTGTGGGTCCAAGCCCTACTACGTCAGGGACTCTGAGCTCACAGTCCAGGCTGATGCTCCAATGCAGTGCTGGGTGGGGGGTTATGGGGAGCGCTGCATTGTCAGAGGGGCCGTCCTTCATGTGAGACGTTAAACCGAGGTCCCGTCCGACGGCACCTTCAGCAACGTAGCCCTAGACTGAGCTCAAAGTCCCAATTCGGGGTTTGAATTGGCAACCTTCTGACCTAAAGGCAAGAGTGCTCCCGACTAAATTAGGCTGTCACCAATTAGTGGTATTGGGGATCTGGGTCTCAACACATTCAATGTGAAGGACATTAAACACACAGCTACATTGCCCCCAGTGGGAGAGAGTCTTTCTGTTTGAAATATAAATTGAACCCGATGTCATAGATCTCTGTATAACCCAAATTTTATAAACTGACATTACTTGCACTCTAGGACTCTTCCTTGTGTGAGGGCACTATACAAACACAAATTGTGATGGTACTGTGTACAAAATTGGCCACCGCCTTCGTCTACAAAAAGCACAATCACTACACTCCACAGCAGATTCTGTGAAGCACTTTTGAGACGTTTTGACGTGATGAGACGCTGTATCAAATGGAGGATGATTATTAATATTCTGCTCCTCAGTGTGAATGTAATTGGGTTACATTGCTGCTGGTTTGATGATATCACTCGCTGCCTTCAATGGTCACTTTTTGGCTGCTGTTCTGTAGTCTGAACCGTCTGCGTTTATCTCTCTGCAGCAGTAAGATGTAGATTAATTAAACAGTTTCATTTCTGTAAATCAGTAATGTGCTGTGCAAAGAACATTTACCCCCCAAACCATTGCTTTTGTCTTACAATGTTCCCATGACAGCCTAAGCTGATGCTCCAGTGCTGTGCTGGGGATTGATGTAATGACTCCTGAGTGATCAGGGGCAGGGTGGGGGTGTGTGTGGGTGGAGATAGAGGTCGCTTCTCTCAGTTTATTTTCCTGTGTGTTTAACCCACTAACCTTTTAAGGGGACGCAGATTCAAGATAATTGGCAAAAGAACCAGAGGGGAGACGAGGAGAATTTTTTTTACACACAATAGAAATGCTACGGTCTGGAATGCAAAGTATCTTCCGATGAAGCTGTTCTGAATCAGGATCTTTGATCTCTCCAGCTAGCCTGGGGGTGAGCCCTTGTCTCTCGTCTCCAAACACTGTTCTTCACCGTGATTCAGGCTTGAGCTACAGACATACTTGAAGACAACAGCCTCCTCAGCTCCCGCTGCCTCTCAAATCTTGCACTGTATGCTCTGAAATAAGGTGGAGGTGGAAATCCCGCCTGGGTTTAGTATTCACCCTGTTTAATGGAGTGTTTCACATCATCCAGAATTCTCTTAACTATTAATTCTCTCGGTCTCTTACCTTTACAAGCCATTCGTTGTCTAAAAGAAACTTAAAGGCTTCGAAATTAAAGATGGGTTTGACCATTTGACATTTGGCCCGGCTCAGTCACTCTCACTTGCCTCTTTGAATCAGGAGGTTGTGGGTTCAAACCCCTCCACGTCGGGGGCTTTGAGTTCACAGTCCAGGCTGATGCTTCAGTGTAGTACTGGGGGGAGTGCTGCATTGTCAGAAATGCTGTCCTTCAGGTGAGACTTTAGGGTCCTGTCTGTGCCTGTTCAGGTGGATATTAAAAGATCCTGCAGCACTTTTGGATAAGAGAAGGGAGTTTCTCTCTCCTGATGTCCTGGTCGACAATCTCCCAAATATAATCAGTCACTCACTTCATTGATTTGATGTTGCTGTGCACAGATTGACTTCAGCCTTTGCCTACAAACTACACAGTCACACTTTACAGTAAATCCTGTGAAGCTCTTTGGTACGTCCTCCTGACTTGATAAGGCGTTGTATCAACTTCAAGGTTTATTATTATTTTCAAAGTTACAGACAGTATTATTTAATCACAGACAATATTATTTAATTGCTGAGAGTATTATTTAATCACAGACAGTATTGATTAATCACCGACAGTATTATTTAATCACAGACAGCATTGATTGAGCACTGACAGTATTATTTAATCACTGATAGTATTATTTAATCACAGACAGTATTATTTAATCACTGACAGTATTTATTAATCACTGACAGTATTATTTAATCACAGACAGTCTTATTTAATTACTGAGAATATTGTTTGAGCACAGACAGTATTGATTAATCACTGACAGTATTATTTAATTACTGAGTATTATTTAATCACAGACAGTATTACTTAATTACTGAGAGTATTATTTTGAGCACTGACAGTATTATTTTGAGCACTGACAATATGATTTGAGCACAGATTATTATTTTGAGCACTGACAGTATTATTTTTTACATACAGCTGCTGAAATCATGTCATGAAGGGTCTGGTACTCAAGGTAGGACTGTTCCAAATTACTGAACCATTGAATCTTATTAGAATTATAATAATAACTCATTTTCACATCGTATTCTCTTAACGTACAAATCACCTGGGTAGTTATCAAATTCACTTTTCTCCTGTTATAGTGAAAAATTCAGATTTAATTCTGAGCTCTGGTGTTACTGTCCATGTGATGGTCTCATGGTGGGGTATTAAAAGGATGTGGCAAAGGAGTAAACATTGAGATTCAAAGATCTGGCAATGTAATAAACTAGTGGAACAGGCTGGGTGGGCTAAACGGTCTCCCCCTAAACCCGTTTTCCTACATTCCTGGAATGTAATTCCTTCTGGCTCGCCTCATCTCGCTCTTCCCGAACCAGGAGTTGGGAACCCTCGCTCCTGAGTCAGAAGGTTGTGGGGGACTTTGAGCTCACCAGTCCGGGCTGACACTCCAGTGCAGTGCTGGGGGGTGCGCTGCATTGTCAGAGGTGCTGTCCTTCGGATGAGACGTTAAACTAAGTCGGTGCCTGTTCAGGTGGATGTTAAAGATCCTGCAGCGCTATTGGAAAAGAGAAGGGAGTTTCTCTCTCCCAGTGTCCTGACTGACAATCCCCAGATAAAAATTGGACATTCACTTCTTGTGAATTGTTACTAATTTGCAGGGGGATAGAGAGAGAGAGAGAGATAATGACACACACACAGACATAAACTAATTGGAGAGTGCAGAAGTTTTGTGGGACATTGCCGTGTGCAAATTAGCTGCTGGGTTCACCTAAAACCACAGTCACTACACACTAGAATTGATTCCTGTGAAGGGTTTTGCCCACAAAGTATACAGTCAATTCATTTTACAGTATATACAGTGAAGTGATTTGAGACATCTAAAAGATGTAATAAGGCACTATGTCAATGCAAGGATTATTATTATTATTTTATCATTAATATGCCCTCCCGACATGATACTCTCTAATAATAATAATAATAATCCTTGCATTTGATATAGCGCTTTTCACGTCGGGAGGACGTCCCAAAGCGCTTCACAGAATATACTGTAAAGTGAATTGACTGTATATTTGTGGGCGAACGCGGCAGCCAATTGCGCACAGCAATGTCCCACAAACAGTCGTAGATTGAAAATGACCAATTTATTATTGTTTTGGGTTTTTTGGAGGGATTATTATTAGGCTCTGTGTGGAGTAAGGAAACTTGCCCAAGGTTTCGCCCTGACTGGAATTGAACTCTGTATCAAATGTAGTTTTTTTTAACAAAGCGTGCTGTTTGCAGTCTCAGTGCTGAGCGTGTCAGAGATCAGACTTGTCTACACTAATCGACACTTTTAACCACGCGCACGGTTTCAAATCAATTCCACTTTAAACGTCTTGAGACACATTCGAAACGAGATCCAAGAAGCTGGCACAGTGAGACTGTATAATAATAATAATAATATTAATAAATTTGCAAAACACTGCAAATCTGTACTCCGGCTATCCGCACCCCCGGTTATCCACATCGTGCCCCACGGGTGGATTCGGTGGCGGGGTATCCAGGTGGTCAGTTTAGTGAAGTGATACTGAAACCAGCCACGTAAGGCAAGTGTGTGATCCAGGTTGATGGACATCAGGGACATGGTGCCTGGGAGAGGGAGTGGCCGGGCCAGTGAGGAGGAGTGGCCTGGCCCAGAAGGGGGAGTGGCCAGGGAGGGGGAGTGGCCAGTGAGGAGGAGTGGGCTGGCCCAGAAGGGGGAGTGACCAGGGAGGGGGAGTGGCCAGGGAGGGGGAGTGGCCAGGGAGGGGGAGTGGCCTGACATGGAGGGGGTGTGGCTGAGCCAAGGAAGGGGAGCAGCCTGGTTGCAGAGGGGGTGTGGCCTGGCCAGGGAGGGGAGTGGCCTGGCCAGGGAAGAGGTGTGGCCTGGCCAGGAAAGGGGAGTGGCCAGGGAGGGGGGTGGCCTGGCCAGGAAGCAGTGGGGGGGAGTGGCCGGTCCAGGGAAGGGGTGTGGCCGGTCCAGGGAAGGGGTGTGGCCGGTCCAGGGAAGGGGTGTGGCCGGTCCAGGGAAGGGGTGTGGCCGGTCCAGGGAAGGGGTGTGGCCGGTCCAGGGAAGGGGTGTGGCCGGTCCAGGGAAGGGGTGTGGCTGGTCCAGGGAAGGGGTGTGGCCGGGCACAGACAGACGGATGGACGAAACCCTCCCAAATCGGGTGCTTTTGCTGGAAGAGTCATCACTCCAGGGTACCGTTGCCATGGCAGCGGAACTCATCACCGGCGTTGGTGGAAGTAACGTGACTCACATTTTGTGCAAAAAACGATATCAATTTCAGGTTCCGCGGAGTTCTGCTGTTTCTTTAATTAATTTGATGTGAGACGTACAAATCCACGGGGCTGAGGTTGTCCCCTGTCGGGAATTGCAGAGAGGGGCTGTACTACAGACTTGCTATAAGGTCCCACAATACCCACGTCGGCGTCTCTGAGCTCACAGTCCAGGCTGTCGCCCCAGCGCCGTGCTTCGGATGAGACGTTCAACCAAGGTCCCGTCTGCGCTTGTTCAGGTGGACGTTAAAGATCCCGTGACACTGTTGGAAAAGAGGAGGGCGTTTCTCTCTCTCGCCCGGTGTCCTGGCCGACAATCCCCCAAGGTCACCCACTTCATATGGGACACTACTGGTGCAAACCGGCTGCCGCCTTTCGCCCACAAAACACCCAGTCGCTATACTTTACAGTATATGCTGTGACGTGTTTTGGGATGTCCTCCTGACATGAAAAGCCCCTGTATTATTACGTTTTTCTTTTCAACTGTTTGTCTAATCCTCTTTTAAAAGGTATTGGATGACCATGTAAAACAGATCTCCTAATCTCTGCATTTGTTTTTCCTACACTTCTACCCTCTAGTGACTGGTTCATCGTACAGTGGACATAGTACTAATAATAATCATCCTTCCATTTGATAAATCACCTTGTCATGTCAACTCACTTTGCAAAGGCTCACTGTATTGCTACAAGTGGGGCAGTAGAAATGAGTACAAATGTTCGACAGACATCATGAGTCCCAGTGTCCTGACCTCAACCTTCCCCTTCCTGATAACCTGTTCCAGTTGTTAATTACCCTCTGGGTAAACAAACACTTCCTGGTGTCTGTCCTGAAATTGCCCTTTATAGCTCTGAACCTGTGGGACTGCTCTGTAATATTGGACATTGTGGATACCCTGTAGGGTGTCAAAACTCAGACTCCCTGAACGTGTAGCTTGAACCTCCAGCCTTTTGACTCAGAGTGCTGCCCACTGAGCCAGGCTGACACCAAAATAAGCAGCTTTGGATTCAATCAACCACCCGTGCCTTCCTCCACCAACGCACAGCTGTTGACTCACCCAGTGATCTGTGTGTCTCCCGGCTCGCCCACACACCAGCGGATGTCACGAACAGTCAGTCAGTCTGGCAAGCAGATTACACGCCCGTCACTACCTTATTCACACACAACAACCTCTCAGCCTCACATGCTGCTGCAGCATTTTGCTTCACAAACTGGAAAAGTTATTCGGACAATTCGACCATTGTGACATGGCTGTGTTTCCCCTCAGAGTATTTATCTCTGTGTGTTTCATTCTCTGTTTGCAGGCAAGTCGCTGTGTACAGTTTGGCTGCAGCGCTCGCCTACAGACACTCAGTCATTACACTTAGCAATATACATTTGAATAACGCCTTTCACGTCAGGAGGACGTCTCAAGGTGATGGACAGTCAGGCATTTGGATCCGAGTGAGGGGGGTGGTGGGTTGGGGTAAGGGAGGGTGGAGAGCAGGGAGAGTGACCGAAGGCATGGTCAAAGAGGAGGGTCTTGATACGTGCCTTGGAGGAGCCAAAGGAGGGAGCGAGGCGAGGCTGTTGCCGTATAAGAAGCTATATGCAAAGGATTATATCATTATCGTTATTTGGGTTCCCTGAATTTCACCTCATGGGGTGGGGAGGAATTTCCTCATTGCAGCGACTAAACCTTCATTGAATACAGTATGTGTGACCCTCTTCCCCCAACAACAACAGTTTGCATTTACACAGCAGCTTTATTGCGGGATAGTGTCTCGGAGCACTTGACAGTGGTGGAGTCGTGAGGTGATCATAAGCACCGTCAAAGGGGAAGGTCTTCAGGCCCGATCTGAAAATGGGAAAGGAGGGGATAAAGGGAAGGGATGGGGGAAGAGAGTTCCAGAGTCTTGGGGTGTAGCGTCGCAAAATCTTTAATGTCCACTTAAACAGGCACTGGGTGGGCCTCAGTTTAAGGTCTCATTCCACCCCCAACGCTGCAGAGTAGCGTCAGCCTAGACTGTGAGCTCAAAGTACCGATGTGGGGCTTGAATCCACAACCTTCTGACTCAGAAACGATAGTGTGACTGACTGAGCCAGGTTATGATCCTGCAAGATACACATTGTTCGGCAAATATATTCGGAAAGTTAACATCTATATCAGCAAGTTTCTTTAGTCCACACGCCTTGGTTTACCTAGCAGTAAGTAGGTACCCGGTTGTGTTGATTGGTGGATCGCATTTGGAGGTAATGATCCCTCCAAAAAAATTATTAATAATAATTTTAATAAATATTAATAACAATAATGGTCACTCAATCCATGACTGTTTGTGGGACGCTGCCTGTGCCCAATCGGCTGCTGTGTTTCGCCAACAAAATATACAATCAATTCACTTTGCAGTATATTCTGTGAAGCCCTCTGAGATGTCTCGAAGCCCTCCATGGTCTTGCTCCCCCCTACTTCTCTGACCTCCTAACCCCCTACCATCCTCTTCGCTCCCTCCATTCAGCGGTCTCTGGCCTGTTTCATGTCCCCTGCCTTGCTCGCCCCACTATCAGCGGGCAGGCCTTCCACCACTCTGCCCCCACCCTCTGGAACACCATTCCGCAGTCCCTCCATCTCGTCCTTTCCCTCACCACCTTCAAGACCCACCTCAAGACCCTCCTCTTCGACCGTGCTTTCGATCTCCCTGCTTCCCCCCTGCCCTCCCCCCACCCCGACGCTCAGCTCGGGTCTGAAACTCTTGTCTGTCCAGCGACTTTGGACGTCCTCCCGATTGAAAGGCGCTATACAAATGTAATTTTGTTGTTGTTGTCTCAACAATGTGATAGGGTACTATATCAAATGGAAGGATTATTATATTATGTTATGATTATATTATTATATTATTTTATTATATTATTATTGTATTATTATATTATTACTCTATGTGCTCTGCCTGCCTGTCGCACCCTCAGAATAACATAACTAACCAGAAATATATTCAAGTGATTTTCCAAGAGGATAGAAAACAAATGGGTAAAAGTAAACAAAAGGCAAAAGACTGCAGATGCTGGAAATTTGAAATAAAAACAAAAGTCGCTAGGAACACTCAGCAGGTCAGGCAGCATCTATGGAGAGAGGAAAGTGAGTTAACGTTTCCGGTCGATAAACTTTCGTCAGAATTGTTCAGAGTGTTCCCAGCCACTTCTACTTTTATTATGAGTAAATGTAAATTAGGATTATATTATGGAGTCGGGAAGGATTTGAATAAGCCACAGCTGTAATGCACATCAATGTCTCCTACAACACACGACGTATTATACAACACAGTGTTGATGTAAAATGTTTTCTGGCCTGGATACAGACTTAGTAACATGCTGGAAATCACTATAATTGTTGGTGATGGAGAGATGATGGCTGTTATGTTAAAACCTGCCCAAAATAACACACTGCAGGGTAGCTACACAGTATTACACATAGGGATGGAAGACTTGTTAGTAACACTAATAACAAGGAGCAATTTCCAAATCAATTTACACAGCGGGCAGCGTCTCGGAGCCTGACGCTGAGCCGTGGAGAGGGGGAGCTGACCCTAAGCACGGTCAAAGCCTTCGGGTGTGATGTGAAGACGGTCAAAGAGGGGACTTGAGGTATTAACTCTGTTGTGATTTTCGAGAGGTTCGGGACAAGTTCATTCTACCTCTGAGAAAGTTGTTTCTGATTATGAAAGGACTCAATATGGTGGATATTATAGGATGGTTTCCACTTGGTGGTGGGACCAAAGAGGACATTAACATGACAGTCAGTAACAGATCTAACAGGGAGTTTAGGAGGAATTTCTTAGTGAAGAGGATGGTGAGAATGTAAAACTCACATTGTTGGCATTTTGAGGTCACAGTCCAGGCTGAGACTCCAGTGCAGTGTTGGGGGAAACGCTGCATTGTCAGAGGTGCCGTCCTGCAGATGAGATGTTAAACCGAGGTCCCGCCTGTGTCTGCTCAGCTGGACGTTAAAGATCCTGCACCACTATAGGAAAAGAGAAGGGAGTTTCTGTCCCCGGTGTCCTGGCTGACAATCCCCCAAATAAAATTGGTCGCTCACCCCACGGCTGTTTGTGGAACTTTGCTGTGTGCAAATTGTCTGCTGTGTTTGCCTACAGAACACAGTCAATTCACTTTACAGTAAATCCTGTGAAGCATTTTGAGATGTCCTCACTATCTGAAAATCGCTGTATCAAATGCAAGAATTATTGTTATGATCATTATTATTACCATTAAGATTATTATGATTATTTGTATCTATATTATTCATGGTGACTTATTAGGATTGTTTATTGTGCTATGTATTATTTATGATATTTAGTTATTATTTGTCATTTATTATGATAATTATTGATAATCAGCATTCATTGTTCTGAATAGTATTGATTCATATTGAATTCTGAGTTCTGAATAATTATTTCTTAAAAAACGTGGTCAGTCAATCGACGACTGTTTATGGGACCCAGCAATTGGCCGCCGCGTTTCACCCGCAACATACGCAGTCAATCCACTTTACAGTGTATTCTGTGAAGAGCATTCGCTCGCAAGCGAGAGGACTTGGGTTTGATTCCCGGACAGGGCGAAATGTTGGGCAAGTTTCCTAACTCCACATGCCTCTGTTTACCGAGCGGTAAGTAGGAAGCCGGTTGTTAGTCGATTGGTGGATCACCTTCCGGGGGTAATAATCCCTTGAAGAATATATATAAATAAATAAATAAATAAATAAATAATTTGGTCACTCAATCAATCCACGACTGTTTGTGGGACACTACTGTGCGCAATTTGCTGATGCATTTTGCCCACAAAATATACAGTTAATTATCTTCACAATATATGCTGTGAAGCACTTTGAGACATCTCGAAGACGTGATAAGGCGCTATATCAAATGCTAGGATTATTAATAATAATGATTGTGTGTGATTTCTCCGCAGGCAAAAGAGATGCGGCGGATGGTGAAGCTGGAGGCGGGGATGGCCCGCAGGCAAGCCACAGTGGTGTGAAGCCCCCAGACACAGCCTGAGCCCCACATGTCCAGCAGCAGACAGGAGACAGCGAAGGACATCCATCCACCCACCCACCCACCCACTCCTTTCATCTCCTCTTTACCTCACACACCCTGTGTCACCAACAATCCCCAGTGTCAACCAATTCCAATTGACCAGAAGGAATGGTCGACTCCTTTGTCTGTGGAGCACTTTAAAAGCTTATCGATCCTCAGTCAATATGTATCTGAGTGACCGGTAGCTTCTGGTAAATGGCAGATTTGGGGGCGACTGTGGTGCCTAATAATGTTCATAGATTGTGTGAACACACAGAACAGAGAATAGCAACAGGGGGAGATGGGGGGGTGCAGAGCAATACGAAACCCCCCCCAACCCCAAAAAAAATCTGGTCACTCAATCCACAACTATTTGTGGGGACGCTGCTGTGCACAATTGGCTGCCGTGTTTCTCCCACAAAATATACAGTCACTACACTTTACAGTATATTCGGTGAAGCGCTTTGTGACGTCTCAACGATGTGGTAAGGCGCTGTATCAAATGCAAGTATTGTTATTGGAGACGCAATTTGCTCTACATTCTGTAATGGGAGAAACTGATTCAGTTGGGTTTGCTGGTGGATAGTCTGTATAAATAGCTGTTATCTTTACTTTACCCACAAAATTTACAGTCAATTCACTTTACAGTATATTCTGTGAAGCTCTTTGAGACGTCTCAAAGACATGATAAGGCACTATATCAAATGCAAAGATTATTATTATTGTTATGTATCCAGGACTGTTGCAGCTCATCCATGTTGTCGCCAAACAAAAGATGTGGAGAGCTGAGGCCAGAATGTCCTTACCTGGTGATGAGAACAATGTATTGAACGTGATTGCCAACTGATCAGATCAGTCACTAAATAGGTGAAGATCGTGGCATTTGATGCAGTGCCTTTCGTGACGGGAGGACATCTCAAATGCGCTTCACTGGTTGTTACTGTGAGGTGCAGTGACTGTGTGTCACTACACCTTACTAGTGAATGCGGCAGTCAGTTTGCACGCAGCGATGGCCCCACAAACAGCCAGAATACTTGGACCATCAGCCAAGGGGGTCTCAACGCCACAGAAAACACTGCCTTTGCTCTGAGTTAAAAGTTTTCCACATGGATATGAGTAACGGAATGTAGGAATCGAGCCAACCCCGTGTGACGGTCTCGAGTCCGGTTCCTGAGCAGGTGGGTCCGCAGTTTTCATCAGCAGTACTGCGGACTGCTGATTACACTGGGAGCCGGAAGTCATCCCACTCAGCAACTGCTAACTGTGCAAGCCAAAGCCCTAACCAGTAGGGTGGTCCAGCCTGGACAAGCGGCAGGAAAGCTGGCCAGACTTTGGCAAGCTATGTGGTTTTAGCTGGTTAGCCTCTAGCAATTACCCCAACGCACACTCTGGGGTCCCCAAGCCTTGGCTCTTGCCAACCCGCGCCTAAAACTCAACAGAATTAGGTAAACAGGATGTGTCCCTCCAGGGAGAGAGTGCGCATTCCATTTCAAGAATCTCTCTCTGGGATGTCCATGTGTAGGTGGGATGCATGGAATTGTCAGCTTGGTTTGGAGACTCTCAAACAGGGTGATGGGTTTCCGCATTTGTCAGACACCCGGCTGAGCACCAAAAAAAAACCTGGAAGTGAGGGCACATTTCCGCAACATTGCAGTAGCTGTTATCCCCACTGAACAACACCAGACAGCAATGCTATTAGTGAGTCAGTGAGACCTGTGCTTCTGACAGAGAGACAAATCCTACACAAAGCAACCGCGGTTCAGCAGACATTTCTTTTTACACCAAACACATGTTATCAGGCTATCAGATATTTGCGGATAAGGGAAAGCTCTTGTTTATAACATGGATTAAGTACGAGTTTCAAACTATTAAACAAAAATGTATACACAGCCACAGTTTTTGTTACTTTGCCATACACAGTGATTTGAACAACATTCATGTTTTAATTTCATTATTCCTTATTGTTTAATAATAAACAAGACTAAAGATAGATTGCTCCTTTATCAGGGGGTTTATTTAATATTCTAAGCACATACGTGTGAACAAAGACAAGCTATAGCGTGTTACACTGCTGATGAACACAAGCAGATAATGAGACATTTACTGTAGTACCCACACTCTGCAGCGATTCAGAGTCACTGTAGCATAGATGCTTGTAAGTCAAACAGCGTGCATGCACTCAAGTGTATACAGCAGACAAGATGCTCAAGGAATCCCCGATGAATCCAGATGTCTTTTCCTCACACGCTTCTGTGGATTTCCTCTTATGGTGCTTTCATTGGGATAAATTTTGGGAATGTTGGGCCGTGGAATATTTTTCCATTTCAGCGTCTAACGGAAATAAGTCTCGGGATCGAGCGTGATTCCGAGGGATTTCAGTCAGGGTGACTTTCAGGGGAATTGTAACACTAATGGCTTCACTCACTCACTCACTTACTCAGTGTCTGGGAACAGGGTAAAAGAGGAATTCTCTACCCTTCGCTTTCAACGGCTGATATCAGCACAATGTAGCTCTCCGTCTAATGAAGGGTCAAGGATGGTATTTTAAAGGGTTTTTTTGACAAAAAAAAACAGATTGTATAATCACTCATCAGAACCTCATTTCTGGCCAGGGTTACAGACGGGCAGAAATCCTCCACTATTTCACGATGAAACACTGTAAATATGTACTTAGCGCTTCTAAGATCATTTTAAGACCAAATTTCGTTCAGGGCATATCTTAAGGGCACGCTGCTCTTGGGTGTTAGCTGAGGACATGCTGAGGATATATTTGTTTCTGAAAATGCAATTTCATGTTATCAGCCATTTGAGGGATCTCTCTACAGCAAGCCAAGTGCCCTCTGAGAAGAAATAGCTTTCACTACATATCTTTGACCGTATTATATATATCTATCTATCTGCTGGTCTCATTAAAATATACTGCGTACTGCAAATAGTGGTGCTTTCACCCAACTCTACATCACCCATTGCTGCTTCCAAGAGGGAATGAATAGAATACAGCGCCAAACAATATTGGAATGCCCTTAATTCTGTAACTGGGGTAAATAGCTAACGGAAAAACAAATTCAGTTCAGTTTGCTGGTAGATCGTGTCTTTAAATGGCTGTTATGTTTATTATGTATTGGGGACTGTCTTGCAGCTCATATACGTAGGTTTGTTGTAAAATTATATAAATAAAAAGCAGGCTCTTACACAGGTAGAACTTACATCCACTGTTTGTTTTAAATATATATATAGAGAGAGAGAAAGATATGGTGAAGGTGTTTTATATTTATATTGTCTCTTGTCAAATTATTAGCTAGAAAATCATAAACTATTAATTATGGTTCTGACCTTTAATACGATTTTATAGTTTCTGTACCCGTTATAAATAAACAACAAAAACAACTCACTTTAACCAGCCCCGCCGTTTCTGTGTCTTGATTTCCCTTTCGATATGTTGCCCCAGAGGATCAATCGAGTTCAAGATCCTCGTCCTCACTTTTTTTGTGGACTCCGGTAGCTTGGTGGTTAGAGCGCTCGCCTCGAAAGCGAGAGGAGCCGGGTTCGATTCCCGGGCAGGGCGAAAAGTTGGGTAAGTTTCCTTACTCTACCCGCCTCTGTTTACCTTGCAGTAAGTGGGAACAGTTGTTAGTAGATTGGTGGATCGCTTTCCGGTGATGATAATCCCTTCAAAAAAGGATTTGATCAGTCAATCCACGACTGTTGTGGGACCCCGGTGTGCGCAATTGGCTGCCGCGTTTCACCCACAGAATATACAGTCAGTTTACAGTATATTCTGTGCTTTGAGACGTCTTGAAGAGGTGATAAGGCGCTTTATCAAATGCAAGGATTGTTATTATATCACTCCACGGTCTCGCTCCTCCCTATCTCTGTTAACTCTTGACCCAGCCGCTCCCTCCGCTCGGTGGGCACAGGCCTGCTTCATGCGCCCACCCCCACCCTGCCCGCCCCACCATCGACGGTCAGGCTTTCACCCATTCTGCCCCCGCTTTCTGCAACTCCATCCCGAAGATCCTCCATCTGACTCGCTCCCTCCCTATTTTCAAATCCCGTCTCCATCCTTATTATTGTTAATAATAGTCCTTACATTTGATGCAGCACCTTTCACATTGGTAGGACGCCTTAAAAGAGCTTCACAGGGTTCAGTGTAAAGTGTAGTGTGTTTGTCGGTGCTTTGAGCCTGGAGGTTGCTGTGAGAGTGATCACAGGAGCCTTGAAATCTACTGAACAGGAAGCCTGGGCGTTTAAAAATTGCAGAGCTTCTGAACAACACGTACAAAAATCAGTTCTACTGTGTCTCCAAAAAATATCCTCCCGGTCCGATATAGAGTACGGGAGTGGGGGTGGGGTTGAAGTAGAGCAGTGCGTTCGTGGGGGCGAGGGTGGGGGATGAAGGTGAAGTAGAGCAGTGTATTTGTGGGGGCGAGGGTGGGGGTGGTTTGATTGATCGTTGTGGGCTGAGAGCAACTGATGCCGGGCACTGCAGAGTAGCTGTTGGTGCAGCACGGCTCGGCTCACTGCAGAGCACAGCGGAGAGAATCACAGCTCTGTCACAGGGAACAACAAAATTACATTGGTAAAGCGCCTTTCATGTCGGGAGGACGTCCCAAGGGACACACAGGGAGCACAGCTCTGTCACAGGGAACACAGCTCTGTCACAGCGACAAAATACACAGTGAATTTTGCCCAAAATATAATAATTCTTATAATCCTTGCATTTAATATAATGTCTGAGTCTAAAACACAGTGAGTCACAGACACAGTGTGTGACAGACATAGACAGTGTGTGACAGATACAGACAATGTGTAAGAGACACAGACACAGTGTGACAGACATAACAACAACTTGCACTTATATATTTCCATCCACGCAGGATAGCGTCTCAGAGCACTTAACACTGGGGGAGCCTGACTCCAAGCCGGTGGGGGGGGGGCACGTGGGGGGGTGGCTGTAAACACGGTCGAAGAGGAAGGTCTTCAGGTGGGACTTGAAAAAAGGGGAGAGAGGGGGCAAGGTGGAGGGATTGAGGGAGAGTGTTGCAGAGTTTTGGGGTAGTGGCTGAAAGCGCGACCTCCGCTGGTGGAGCAGAGGGTGGGAGGGACGAGCAGGAGGCCGGTGCCAGTCGAGCGGAGGCCCCGGGTGGTGGATTGGGGAGTGAGGAGGTCGGAGAGGTAGGGAGGTGCCAGGGAGTGAAGGAATTTGAACACGAGTGTGAGGATCTTGAAGTGATCCATTTGGTGATGGGGAGCCGGTGGAGCCTGGGCCAGAACTGGTGAGATGTGGATTGAGAGTCTAGTCTAGATCAGAGGTTTGAATCAGCT